TGCACACCCGTGCCTTGCCGCGACGGTGTGCTGCTGATTTGTACACCTCTTTTCGATGCGCAAAAAGAGGTGTACAGCTGAAGTTGTACACCTCTTTTCGGCGGGCCAAAAGAGGTGTACAAAATCGAGTGTGCGCCTCCTTTGGCCGGACCAAGAAAAGAGGTGCACACCCGTGCCTTGCCGCGACGGTGTGCTGCTGATTTGTACACCTCTTTTCGACGCGCAAAAAGAGGTGTACAGCTGAAGTTGTGCACCTCTTTCGGCGCCAGCCGTTCCAAGAACGGTGACGAGGGTCACTTCCGGACCGGAAGTGACCCGACCAGCCGTTCCAGGAACGGTGACGAGGGTCACTTCCGGGCCGGAAGTGACCCCGCCAGCCGTTCCAGGAATGCTGCCGGGTGGAACGGTGACGAGGGTCACTTCCGGACCGGAAGTGACCCCACCAGCCGTTCCAGGAACGGTGACGAGGGTCACTTCCGGACCGGAAATGACCCCGCCAGCCGTTCCAGGAATGCTGAGGGTTGGAACGGTGACGAGGGTCTCTTCAGCGCCGGAAGTGACCCTCGTCACCCCGCCGTTTTGCAGCGCGGCTCAGGCTGTCCGGCAGAAAATCGGCAATAACCCCGTCGCCGTTCCCCAGTCAGCATTCGTGGAACAGCTGGAGGAGTCACTTTTGCTGTTTGAGGATCGATCTTTCAGTGGAGGAGCGGTGTGGTTTTGTGTACTACAACTTCGCTCCTTGTAAGCAAGACGTCTAGTTGTAGCCGTGGCCGCGTGTGATTTTGTTCCCAATTGTACAAGCTCCAACCGTCGGACGTTGTCAACCTATGACGCTGACTCGGTCTCGTTTATCGTTTCGAAAACGCAAATTGCGTAGGGTCGTCCGAAAACCACATCACATCATCTGTCGAAGTAATCGGGGGCTCTCGTTCACGTCATCGTCGGCACTTGCAGTGCGGTCGTCGCTATTTCATCGTCAAGCACTTCTGAAGTAGCGAGCCTGTTGCTATCGAATCGTTTCATAACTGCGCTTTCGCGGCCAATCCCAATGTTAAAGGAAGAAGAATGAAGAGATCTTTGCTCGTTTCCGGGTGTCACGTGGATCGAAAAGGCAATCAGATTCAGCTCTACTACTTTCAGTTCTTGTAGTTTTTCTTGGAAAAAAGTACCAGCGCGTCTTTCATCTGGTAAAAGTAACCAGGCTTGTTAGAGAAAAATGACATTCATGACACCCGGTCGCACTTTCGTTACGTGCGCCACGTGGTCACGGGGAGCACAATTCCCGATGTTCCTCTCCGCGCTCGCCAGCATGTTGTTGACGAGCAGGTTCACAGGCACTTCTGCGAAAATGTCCGTGCTTCTGGACGACCAGGGAGCCATGTCGTGGTCGACGTCAACTTCCTCGGGCGACAGCGAAGACCTTCCCGGCGTCCCGCGATCCTTCGTGCAGAAGCGGCGCTACCGTGCGGAGGGTGAAGCGGGAGATGTTGCAGACGAGGAAGGAACCGCACCAGCTGACGCACAAGGAGCTGTACTCAACGAACAAAACTGGTATAGAAGAAAGCCAGAGACTCACTTTCACTTTATCTGTTTTCTGTACGTTTCTACTGGCGTGCGTCTTTCTTGCATGAAGACGCAATTAGGCACGCGGCATTCATTTTTTGTAGCGGCAAACCGCTGTTCCTCTTACTTGTGTCACTTTGAAACAGACTTCTCGATATAGTTCGTGGGCTAGCAGAAGATTTGCAGCTGTGCGGCCGCGAATAAAACTAAGGACGCATCGTGGTGCATAGCTGCGAAAAAAACAAGAGGCACTACTAATACTGACTTTAAAACAAGGTTTCTGGATGCTAGCCCGGAGGACATTCGCGCCCTTTGCCCGCTCGAGGACTGCAAGTCATTGACGCTGGATGACGGGAAGGCAAAAAATTTGAAGGAGGTGACAGTGAAGACACTTCTGGAAAAAACGCACCCGAAGTGTGCTGCCGAGTTCGCGGATTATTTGGTGCCGCCCAATGCCAACGAGAACGAAAACGATGTAGCCGCGATGGCGGAGAATCGGGAGCAGAAGGACCAGTGCCTCTACGTGGAAGGCTTCCACTTGGCCCCGCAAACAGGAAGAACTGCTTTTTGGAAGGGCGCCACGCCGACGGAGCGCACCGCGACCATGCGGTTCTTCGCGCAGTACTTTGACAAGATCGAGCCCGCCGTGAAGCTGCCGATGATCGCGTGGCACAAGGAGCGGATGCTGGATGAAAGCTTTGCGAAACTGGTGGACGCCGACTGCCGTAACCACGTACTGATTTTCGAAGATGCCGGGCCGGTTTTGCACAAGATGGTCCAGAACTACGGCGAGCCCATGTCTGACGCCCCCGATGCACCAGACTTTCTGCCCATCCGCCAAGAGCTGCAGAAATTCAAGAGCAAGCTGCGCGTCCCGTCGCAGGCGAGCCTGGTGGCGCAGTTCCGCACCATGAGCGAGGCCCCCGCCGCCCGGTTCGACTACAACGAGACGACCGCCCGGGCCACCGTGACACTGCCCTACCCGCCGGAAGACGCGGGCAACCCGAGTGAGCCGATTTGCTTCCCCACCTACGAGATCCAGCTCGCGGAACCGCAGAACCGCGCCTCCATCGCCGTGGGGCACCCCATGAGGTTGGTGGACAAAAGTACGTGCGGCGGCGACACGCAAATTTTTCCGGCCCCGGAGAACGCCTTCGCAAAGGTCCTGCGGTCCGGCGTGGAGGGGAAATTCGAGGCGGAGGCTGCCTACGTCGAGAGTGCGAACATTTTTGGTCTCACTACCGCCGGGAAAAAGTATTTGCTGGACAACATGGTGTACTCTTCGCGCGACGAGTTCGATTTCTCCGGCGAAAAGGAGGCCTACGAGATGGGCCGGCACCGCTACAATATGGCCTCCTCAGGTGAAGATATTACACTCGACGTCTCAACTGCTACATGCTGGCCAATCCATTTGTCATTTAAAATCTGCGCGACGTCGTGTTTTCCCGTTCTCATATAGCTTCGCATCACAAAAAATCTGAGATAGAGATGGATGCCTCAAATACATAGCATCAAGATTTTTCCAAAACTTGTCATGCGAACGGCACAGCGTGTGCGTGTCAGTGTCTCCCTTTGCTGCAGCTCTAGCTGGTGTGCCACAATAAAAAACGTTGGCGGGTATGTAACTACAGCTGACAGAATGATGTAAAAAGCAACTGAGGAGGCCATATACAAGTCGCACGCCTTTCACAAGAGCGACAAACTCCACCGGGATAAACCGCTGCACATCACCGTGCCCGAAGTGCTTCTCAACTCCTCCGCGGTGCTGGTGCTGGGCCGGGCGCGCGGCGACACCTATTTCAACCTTCGCAACCGTCAGCTCGCGGCCACCACCGAAGACCGCACGCAGTCCACTACCCCGCCAGCCAAGACCGTGGACACCGTAACCGACTGGCCGGACGCCATGGCGGCGTACCTGGCGGCGTTCAAACTGTGGCAGCGGCAGGCCTGCCCAACTGGCAACGAGAGGTCGGGCTTCCTGCACGGCGACCCGCACCTTGGAAACATTCTGTGGGCCGACGGAAAGGACCTCGACGGTGGGGACGACGCGAGGTACACGGGCGAGTTTTCCTTCATCGACTTCGGTATCTCGGCGGATTTGCCACCGCGTTTCTACCTCTGTGCGCGCATCATGCGGCTTTCTATCGCGTTTCTGGAGGGCACGCTGCTGCGAAAACCCGACGGGTCGCCGGACGAGGAGGCGCGCTGGAACCTGTGGCGGGAGAAAGTCGAGCCCAACCTGGGTACGAAGTTCCTGGCCGTGTCGCCGAACCCAACCGAGAACGACCCGGCAGTCTGGCAGGAACGAAAGAAGGCAGTGGTGGCAAGTGTGTTCGCGGAGGCAGACAAGGGGCTCCGGAAGTGGCTCGACTTTCACCAGCCAGGAGGTGCAGCAAGCTCGTTTTTGTCCCAGCAGTTTTTCCATGATACGGAAGACACCAACGCGACTATGGGTCAAGTTTCTTTTGTTCAGTATGAACATCAAACTCTGCAGCTGGAGCGCGAGCAGCAGCTCCAGGCGAGTAGTGGAGCAAAAAATACTGGTGCGGCGCCGACTTCTTTGTCCATGATGTCCTCTAGTACTTTCGCTACGTACGACGACGAGAAGAGCAGGAGCAGCAGTTCATCCTTCCTCGCTACCTCGGAACGTGAAGTGTCGCGCACTGCTGCGGCGGACCGCAACGAAGAAAAGCAGGCAGCGCCTGGTGTTAGTCCTTTGTTTCCGCTGCTGCAGTTCGAAGACTTCTTTCTCTTTGGAGAGGACCAGGGGATGTCGAAGATCAGTTCCGGTTCCTCGTTTCTGCATGCAGGAGTCACGACCTCGACGACGACCACCACCACCACTCTTCCGAACCTGGTCGCGGAAGTGCAGCTTGCGGCCTTCGGAATTGTGATGAAAAATTACGACCAGTTCGAGCAGTTCGCCGAGTTCCTGAAGTGGTCCACCGCCTTCACGAAGCGGTGGATTACCGGCTACCTGAACTTGCAGCACTCAATGCTGTACGCGTTCGGGAAAGAAAGTGAGGTCTTCAGGAAGGCTTTTCCTAGGCCAGGGGCGGAGCTAATCCTGGACTTGTACATCGAGGTACTCACGTATCCAGGAGGAAAGCTGTGTTAATAGTGTACTCTGTTCGATCAGCAGCGTCTTCACGGATGACACAGAAGGTTTGCCATGGGCCATGGGCATCTATCGGACGGTCACGACCGGACGACACCCACGGCACTAGTGCAAGTAGATATGAAAAGAGAGTCTGACGGAAAGGCGATACCACAACAAGCTCGACTGATGTCTTGCATTTTCTACAGCACAGACTTACTTACTTTCATTAGTCTTTCTTGCACTTTTTACACACTTTTTTCTTGGATAAGACGTCGTCCGCCGAAGAAACCATGTCGCCGCCCGGGGAGTTTGCGCGCATAGCGCATCGAATGAAGGAGGTCCTATGCATTGCAATAGTATCGCACTAGGTCGTAGTGGTGGTACGAGAAACTGCATTTACGAATTTCTTCAGAAGGAGGAAGGTTCAACTTGTAATGCTGAACTTCTAGGTGGGGACCCGACTGAAGATATGGTGAAACCAGACCTGTCATGCTGTACAGCAATTAGTACGAAGAGTGCGATACTTTTGCCGAGAATAGGTCCTGCCGGACAAAGACGTGGCCGTGTTCCGGGAGCAGTTCCTCGAACCCATGGTACTGAAGAAATTCGACCACCTCGATCCGGATTCATGGAGGATGGGAATGATCCGCAAGGCAGTCAAATTTGTTGGCGTCGAGAACATTTTTATCGCAAGAAAAAACTGTTTCACTGTAAAGTTTTTGTAATGTTGCAGATGTTAGAAAGTGAACGACCTCAGTGAAAAACCTTTTTCGTGCGATAATTTTCACCCTGGGCGACAAGGCAGCGTCCGTCGGCAACAGGCTTGCGTCCGCCAAGGCATGGCTAATGGAAAAGTATCAGTCTGGGGTCGACGAGATCCGGAAGGCGTGGGGGGCGATGCGTGGAAGTGGTGGTGGTGCGGCTACTTCCGAGGAAAAGTAAAACACAAGAAAAGAAGAAGGACGGAGGGAAAGTGTCGGGGGTAAACTAAAAACTACGCCCATCGCCATCACCTGAACAATTTAAAGAGATGATGCAGAGAGTTGTACCACTACCTTGTTTCTCAATTATTATGTTTCCATCTAACTTTGAGTTTGACTTTCACTTACGTTCAAAATTTTTGCAGCATCAGCAGAAATAAATCATCACTCTCGTACCAACAAAGGTGCACATCACGATCAGTCGGAAGTACTCACACCGTGTCACAAATTCATATCGAATTTGAAGGAGAGCAGTTTGAGTTATGAATATCGCGGTTTGATAGATAATACCTTTGAAATAATACCTGTATGATGGTGTAGACTAGATGTCTTGGTTGACGAGTACGGCAGGACTACAACTTCGCTTGTGTACTTGTATATGAACAAAGGGCAAAAATGGACTGTACAGTAATCAAAGGTTAAATTATGGCACAAGAAAAAAAAAGTCAAGTGCATAAGCAGCACCCCCGGTCCCCGGAGGCTGATTGTGATTGCCGTGGACGACGAATGTTCCGTAGGCGTCGCGAAAGCAATCGCATTATCAATGAATTCGTAATTATCTTGTACTCGTGATCGTGGAAATTAAACGGCGCCGCATTGGGTTCCACCAGCCTCGAGGATGCATGAGATGTATAAAAATCAAGATCTAGTAGATCAATCTAGTAGAAGCAACGATAATGCTGTCGTACTCGTATTGCTATTGGCTTCGTCGTTCGGGTTTGTGTCGGCATTTAAGTAGCTTTGACACCAAAGGGTCGCGGTCGCCGCCCAGCATGGTAGTCGTTGTTGCCATAGAACAAGTGAAGCTTTTTCGTAGGTACCCGGGATCTTGCTGTCCCTGTCTATTCATGAAAAATTCATCGTGTAGCATGATAGATTTGAAGTCGTGCTAGAACTCCCGTAGATAATATAGCCTGTCTTTCAATTACAAGCAAGGTTAAGGTTTTTTGGATGCGGGTCTCTCGTGCATGGCATGGTGTATCGTAGATAGCACGGTCTTGGATTTTGATCTTTCGGCTCTCATCTGAGATACTGTGCACTGGAAATAAACGAAGATCACAATCATGATGACGCAAATGAGTCAAAAAGGCGGTCTCACTCTACTCAACCGACGAGGCCAGCTTGTCGCTGCTGCTTTCGTGGCAATCGGGGCGGGAAGCCACTCTCTGTGCCTCGCAACCGCCGCAAACGGTCAGTCCCCGGAACAACCAACGACGGTCCGTGTTAGCACGGACGAAGAGGATGCCAGCACTAGTTCGCAGCAAAATTTCCCATCCCCGCGGGCCTTCGTGCAAAAGCGGCAGAAAGCGGAACCTGCTACTGAGAACAGCGATGATGTTGAACCTCTCGTTGACGACGTCGCGGAAACCGTGGCGGAGGGTGCGGAAGCGGTACAGGAGGGCGTGGTAGCCGCGGCGGAGGTTGTGGAAGAGATTGCAGATGTTCTGGTGGGCAACTGGTTTTTGCGCGCTGACGCAGCGCAAATTCGCGCATTGTGCGGCACGCTGGAGGACTGCAAGAGTGCGGTTCTGTCGGAACAGCAGCAACGGGACTTGGACGAGATCACCCTGGAAAACCTGCTGGGCAGGACGCACCCCAAGTGCGCGACGGAATTTTCCGCGTGGATGCGGCCACCGTACGTCCAGAAGGAAAACGCGATCGCGGTGGACATGCAGAACCGGGAGGAGAAAACCTGCCTTTACGCCGAGGGGTTTCACCTGATTCCAACTTTTGCGGGAGGCAGGGACTACCGCGAGCTGGCACCGCTGGCGGAGCGCGTTGCGACGATTCAGTTTTTTGCCTCGTATTTCGAGAAAATCGGAAAGGCCGTGAAGATTCCGATGATCGCGCTGCACAAGGAGCTCATGGAGACCGATGTGGATGACTACCGGACCAAAGTCGAGTATGACTGTCGCGCCCACGTCAAAATGTTCGAGGACGCGGGGCCGGTGCTGCACAAAATGATCCAGAACTTCGGCGAAGGCACGGACGATTACCGTGCGGGCCCAAACTTCGCTTTGATCCGGCAGGAGCTGGCGAAGTTTAAATCCCAGCTGCGTACGCCCCCCGTGGCCGCGATGGTACTGCAGCTGGAAAGCTTGAACGCCTTGAAGGATGTGCAGTTCCGCTACAATGCGACGACCCAGAATGCGACGCTGCGACTGTCCTACCCGCCCCGACTCGGCTTCGGCGCAAAGGTCCTGCCGACCTGCAACCCCCTGTACGAAATCGACTTGGACCCGAAAAACCGGGCCAGCATCGCCGTGGGAGTGTCGTTGTCCTTGATAAACGCGGACAACTGCGGGACGGGCGATTTGCAAACGTTCCCCGCGCCGAAGCAGGCGTTCGGGAAGATCGTGCGTGCGGGCGTGCAAGCGAAGTTCGACGCCGAGGAGGAGTACGTGAAAACTGCTGCTATTGGACTAGAACCTGGTGAAAAAGTATTTGAGCGAAAAAAGTTCGTTGCGATCGTTCATTTTTGCGATTTACAAAAACAAAAAGAAAAAGTATCGTATCCAAAGGAGGTGATGCGGAAAAATAAATGCATATTCCCACAATTGAGGCCCTGTGTGTGCGTGAGGTTTTCCTTTGTGATGTGTCATCTGCAGCACAAGAAGAGAAAGTTGTGGTGCCAGAAAATACATTGATGCGCTGCATAAAAAAAGCAACCGCTGTGGCAAACTTTTTTCAGTCCATGAAAGGAGTACCTGCTGGGAAACCTGGTGGACGCGTCCCGGGGCGAGTTTGACATGGGGGAGGAAACTGAGGCGTTTCAGGAGGGGTTTCGGCGGTACGACAAGGAGATGCCGCTGGAGGGGCACACGAAGCCGCTGAAGATCACTGTGCCCGCGGTGCTGGCAAATTCCACCGCCGTCTTGGTGCTTGACCGCGCGCCGGGCGACACGTACACGAACCTGCGGAACGAGCAGATCGCGGAGGGAAAGGAGGGCAAACGCGTGACCGACTGGGAGATGGCTATGCAATCGTACATTCAAGCTTACATGGTGTGGCAACGGGAGGCGTGCCCCGCGCACGGCGCGGAGGGGTTTCTCCACGGGGACCCGCATTTGGGGAACATTTTGTTCGCGACGCAGTCCCAGCTGGAGAGCCCTGCCAGCGAGCGGTACAGTGGCGTCTTTTCCTTCATTGATTTCGGGATTGTGCAGAAGTTACCGCAGCACTACGCACTGTGCGACCGGTTGTTTCTCTACATGATGTGTTTTCTGGAGGGTGCGCTGATCCGCAACACCACGAGTGGCCTGCCGGACGACGACGCGCGATGGCAGTTTTGGGAAAGCACCGTGGCGCCCATTCTGGGCACGAACTTCAAGCCCTCGCCTCCGGAGGGAATCGCGCCGGCCAACTACGAGGACGCAAAGAGGCGCGTGGTGAAGTCCATTTTCGCAGCGGGCGATGCTGCTTTGGACAGTTTTCTGCGTGCCGCACGGTCGAAGGAAAAGAGAGGGGCGGCGGCAAAAGCACAAGCGGCAGGTGCTTCGTCCTCGAACCACGCTGCGCCGTCGTTTCTGCAGGAAGTGGACCAGGAAGACTTTTGCCGCGGGTCCGCTTGCGCGCCAGCAGAACTACAGCGGGATCAACAGCAAATGTTTCCTCGCGGGGGCCTCTCTTCACATCGAGCCATGCGGGGCCTCGCACCGTACTCGTCGTTTCTTCTCAAAAAAGATGACGACGAAGGGGACGCCGCAGTGGACTCGGAGCCCCACCAGCCCACCGGATCTCTCGATCCGACGGTTTTGCTGACGAATGTGCAGATAGCGGCCTTCGACGAATTTTTGATGAGCTACAACATGTTCGAGCCGATTCCCATGTTCCTCAAGTTCTACACTGCTTTCGTGAAGCGGTGGCTGAACGGATACCAAACGCTGAGTTTTACACTGCACGCCGTGGCTAATACCACTAGCGAGAGCGAGGCTCTTGATCGCTATATGCAGTTGACGATGTCGTATTTGCAGGTCGTGATCGGGGCCGCGTGGGAAAACATCGCAATGACGGGGGAGTTGGCGAAATTGGCAAAGCGGTCGGAAGAACGGTTGCCGGAGGAGGACGCGGGCCTGTTTCGACGGCACTTCCTGGAAGTTCCGCTTGTTGCTGCTCCCAAGTGGTTGCGCCGTGCGATCGACTGGATGGGCATCACAAATGTGTATGCGGGTGTGAGCAGGGTGGAGTCAGGAGTCGTGCAGCCTGTGTATCGCATGTACCAAGCGTCCGGGCGAAGGATGCGCGCGGCGAGGGACTGGATGCAGGAGAAGAGGGACCAAGCGAGAGAGAAAGCGGCAAGCTACAGGAGCTGGTCTATCCCGAGTACTAAAAACGTCGTACCCACCAGTCGCAAAGGGAAAATCAGTCAGACAAGTCACGCATGATCTTTGGCTTGAATCAAGAATCCACGTGCTCATCCTGAGCAAAGCACGAGATATTTTTTGCGACTAGTAATTGAATATGCTGCTGATGGGGCTGACCGCGCATAAGACACATCCTGGGTTGTATGCAGCTTTGCATGAGAAAGAGTATTAAGAGAATGAGAAATCTGGGCTAGGTGCGGCGCTTTTACACAGGATATCGCTGGGCGAAAAGTGGACGAACATGACAGGGAGTTTATCCACGGAAAATAAAAGAAAAAGAACTGTCGTCTTGATGGTGTAGCTCTCCTGTGATGCAGTCGAAGCAAGACATTTGCACTTGTCATGCCGGACATTCATGTCATGAGTAGTTTCGCGTTCATCTTGTGCTGCAGCTCTCCAGGACAACTTCAGCTTTCTTATTTCTGATTCTGTCATGCCGTTGGTTTAAAGAAGCTCCTACAGCACTACCACTAAACATAGTTCTTTTCTTGGATAGGGCCATGGGCAGCCGGGGCCGGCGCAGTAGATCGCGACAAAACGGGGGGCGCATGGGGGTCTCCTCCAGGGTGTGGTGGATAAGTGAAACATTTGAAAATTATACGTGCAGTTTATTGAAATTGAAAAAAGAAAATGAATTCAAATCTTGTTAAATAATAGAAAACGAAAAGCATCAGCTATGGTCTCTCCTGAAACTATCTTGCAAATACCAATCAGTCCGGTTTGTGTTTGTCAGAGAAGGTGCGTAACGAGCTCGGCCGAAGCAGAATCTGAAGCATCGATGACCAGCCTACTAGGAATTTACTGAAATTAGTTGCAACGGTTACTAATATGGCGCGCAGGTGTGAAGGATCCATATCCACCTTTGAACTTAGAGCACTGGATTATCGCAGCATTTAAGAGTAAGGATATATGATCAGACTGATACGAGTTTCAGTTTCGCAGATAACTTGAATATAAATATATTTGTTTCGAAATTATTTTGCATTTTTGTATCAATATGTTGACGTTCCAACGAAGAAAAATCTTGAAATCTGCACGATGAAATTGGTTTACCTCATGATGAAAGTAAGGCTAAGTGGCGAAAATATTATTGAGACTGAAGAAAGCTGCTCGTCCGGAGGGAACCTGTCTTTGTGGCAGCTCTCTCATTGGGATGTTAACTTTTGGAGAAAGATGATTTTCGTTCTTGCAGAACCAAGCCATTTTTAAGATATAGCACTTTTGCTGTTTAGCTTGGCTTCACCTGTCGCAACATGTCCATACCGGGGGAGGGAAGCTCTTTATAGATGTAAAGTGCATTTTTTCACGTTGACGAGCAGAGAGCGAAAAACAAAAATGTGAGAGAATTTGTGGTTTCTAGCACAGCGGTCGCTTTTTTCTGTACCGCGATTGTTTGGTGCGAAGATCTTCGAAAATAAGTATCAGACTCCACACATATGACGTTTACGAAGGTAGAATATGAATGCAGTGCTTTTTTCAGAGAAACAAAATTTTTCGATTCATCTTTCGCCTACCTTGTTGTCAGTTATTCGCTTTCGTCGAGTTGACCAAGTTTTAACTTTCCGCTTCGTTTTCATTTATCAAGAAATATTTGCACGAAACGATGCCGAGCTATTCCTCCGTCTCTTCGGGTAGGGACCGGGGGTCTCCGTGCAGTAGCTGCTCCGGTCCCTTCGCTCGCCGTTTGTTTCTTACGTTCGGGTTCGTCTTTGTTTGCTTTTACTTCGCGTTGAAACGACTGCACGCTCCGCCGATAAGAATGTATTCCGTCGGAAACAAGTTCTCGAGGACGCCTGTGGCAGAAGCAGCTTCGCCAGTAACCAGTTCCGCAAGCAGAAAAAATAGCAGCAGGAACAACCAGGGAGAATACTTTGACTTGTTGTCTTGGATCTTTGGCAGGAGTCCTTCACCCTCCAGTTCCAGTTCGAGTGCTACGCCAACCTCTAGTTCTACCACCGTCCCATCTGCTCCATCAACGTCCGATGCGAAAGCTCGGGAGCAAACGAACCCTGCTTCTGCAACTGGTATCGACGAGCGAAAAAACTGTAAGCTTTAAGCACTGCGGATGAACTCACTGCATTTATTTTTTTAGTTCTTCCAGCAGCTGCACATGTGTGTACTGCACAAATTTTGCGCTCAGCATCAGCACGATAAAGAAAAAAGAGAACTTCAGGAGGTTCTGGCGGCGCCACCTTGAATGCATTAGCGTCATGCGCTAAAGTCACAGAGAAAACGAAAAGCGTTTTCCAACATTGCGAATTTGTGATTGATTGCAACACGGTGGACGTCGGAAGCGGAACCGTTACAACTGCAACTGCACTCACATGAGTTCTTGAGACCGATACATAATGCATACAGTTTTTCCGCACAATCTAGCCCGGTGCAGCAGCAGGAGGCACGGTCGTATCTTCTGGAGGCGCGACGTCTACGTTTCCGTCCACCGGAGCGTCCACGGGAGTACCCCCGAATTCCGCGAGGTTTACGCTCCACTTGTTCGCCCTCGGGGAGTACGAGCTGGTGTCTCCGGGGCACGTATCGCTGAAACCCTACATGCGGCTGAACCTGGAGTCTTGGCGGCAGCACCTGCGGGTAATCGCCCCCGGCGGACCGGCGGCCGGCGATACTAAAGATCACCCAGCGCCGTCGGAAAGGAAAGTGGTGCACTTTATCGAGCCGAAGATCGTGTTGCTGAACAACCAGAATGTGCGGAAATGGATCAAGGACGTTCCGGACGAGTACTTTCGGCTGCCGTACAGCGCCGCGAAGTCCGACGCGGTGCGGTACGCGGTGTTGCACCACAACGGTGGGATCTACCTCGATACGGACATCCTGATGCAGCGCGACGTGCATCCGAAGATACTGTTCAGTCTGCTGCTCACCGGCGGCGCGGACCCTGCCTTTGACAAGTCCGTGCAGGACGCCTACCAGGAGTTTGTGATGCTAACAGGAGGACCTTCTGCAGCTGCTACTTCCACCTCGTCCGCAAATGATCCTTCCGGGGTTCTTGGTTCGTCCTTGACCCCGGTGGAGATGCTGAGCTACGAGGGCGACGGGCAGAACTGCCTGCGCGGCTGGTACAGCAGTAATTTTCTGGGGTCCTCCAAGGGCAGCGAGTACATGGACGAGGTGTGGCGGCGGCAGAAGAAGGCACTGACCACGCACTGCAAAGAAATGAAGGAGCTGAAGGAGGAGAAAATTTGCTGCATGGCCAACCCGAAGGTGGAATGCCACATCCCCTGGACGCAGCTGGGCGAGGGCATCTCGCACAAGGTGGGCTTCAAGATCGCGCAACCACGAGGACCCTCGTCCAGCACAGGTGCGGCCAGTGGCGAAGGAGACCAGCTTCCTGGAGCTAGCAACAAGGAGAAAAACCAGCTGGCCGCCTACGTGGGGGCCGCGAAGGTGAATCCGGTGATGGGGTACAAAACCGGCACACACGAGCAGCAGCTACTGGCGCTTCCCGTCGGAAGCTCCGGTCTGAAGGAGTTCTATGTTAGTGCCGGAGAAGCAAGATCAGGAAAAACGACTGCCAACGTCGTCATATGCTACAACCTATGCCTTGCGTAAAAATTGTAGCATGCACCACGACTGTCACGGTGGACACATAGCAGCGATGTCCAACATGATTGCAACTCCATCTACTGCATGGGTCAACATTTCTATTGAAAGATTGAAATTTTTGTTCGTGCTATATAGACTTTCGTGCTCCCAACCGAGATGTTCAGCGTAAAACAGCGAGCTGTGTTTTTGATGATTCGATTGGTGCATCTATCAAATAGTTTTGCGCAGCATACAGAGTGCCGGAAAACTTCGTGCCGATACCGCCGGAAACGTATTATCTGTCCGTCATGAACGCTGCCTACTGGAATCCGAAGGTAGGGCGCCTGAAAGATCCACACCCGCTGTTACGTACCGCCTACCACATGTTCAACTCGAATGCGGGGCACGGGTCCAAGACGTGTGCGAAGCTTCTCGACCGCGAGGCGGTCATGGGGCAGCTCTACAGGCAGGCGCTTCTATGCAAGACAACTTCAGGAGTTGTGCCCCCACCACCGCACTTGTATTCCATAACGACCACAAGCGACACACAATTGGATGACGTTACAGAGCGGATTGGAAAGACAAATCCAAGTAAACGAGAATTGAGTTCAATTAATTCGTTGTCTTCTGTCGGTTTCTACTTTTGGACATTGGCCTGACGGAAGCTGCCTTGGAGATTAATTTCGGTATCCGGGTAGACCAGGGCCCCTGCTCAGACCAGGGCCCCTGCTCAGACCAGGGCCCCCAGGACCAGGGCCCCCAGGACCAGGGCCCCTACGGACTGGGGCCCCTACGGACTGAACGGCGTCCCGGAATCTGGTACACGGCGAGGCGCGGCCGGAACCGGAGCTGTCTACCAGCGTATCTGGGCCACCAAGTACGCATGTCATGACATGTAGGTCCTAGCATCGGGCCAGGAGGTACGCCAAGTAGCGACAGCTGCCGCCGAGTCATGAAATGAAAAATAAAGAAGCACAGTCAGACGCCACGACCGACGGGCGCCGTTTGTATTCGAAATGTTTCCCAGCAAAAGCACTTCTTGAGTGGACAGGGATGCAGCTCAAAGTGCTAACGAGAGACATCTCAAATTGTCACTATGAAAGTCGAGCTGTGCTTTTTTTGTACGTAGAGCGACGCCCCAACTCATCCAGAACCAGACGCCGGCGCACCAGATTCCGGGACGCCAGATTCTGAGACACGACTGGGGCCCCAGTCCGTAGAGGCCCCAGTCCGTAGGGGTCCCAGTCCGTAGGGGCCCCAGTCCGTAGGGGCCCTGGTCCCAGGGGCCCTGGTCCTAGGGGCCCTGGTCCTGGGGGCCCTGGTCCTGGGGGCCCTGGTCCCAGGGGCCCTGGTCTACACCTTTACCATTAATTTCGCATCACCATGAACTCTTCTGTCATTAAAATGCAAGAGTACTCGCGTGACATAGCGTGGGCGGGGGCATAGCGGTTGTGTATCGTGCATAGCGGTGCAACAATTGCACGCACGACAGCCCGGGGCACGGCATTCTGGAGAAAGTTTGCGATGCGAAGCACGGATTGATGAGCTTAAGGGAACAAATTGCGGGAACGCAAGGCATAGGGCAAATGCAAAACGCTCTCCCCGCATCAATAAACAGATGACTTTGAAGATTTTTTAGAAGGGTGGTAGTGACACTTAGTGCCATAATTGGAACTTCGTCCTGTGCGAATGATCCTCTGCGTTGACGAGAGTAAGAAGTTTCTCTACTCAGTGATTAAATTTGAAGCCGCCCTTGGTTGTGGTTCGGCTTTTGCTTTCGACGATGAAATCGTCCCTGCTCCTCGTATACTTCGGTTGGGCGGGTTTCATTTGTGTCGTAATGTCCAGTTGCCTACTTTCAGCACGGTAGTGAATGTGAAAGTATTCTCCTGGTATAGGTCGACATCTAGTTGTACCGAGCGAAGGGCTAGGCCGGCCTCGAGTGAAGACAAAATGTGGTATTCCGGGAGCGTCGGCACGAGAGAGCAGTCAGTGAGCTGATTTTAACGCGCGCGGCCAGACGGGAGCACTTCAGGTAAGCGTCAAAGGTGACCTCTGCGTTCGAGCCTTTTCGAGCGGTCCTCGTTCTTCGGCTGCGTGCTAGAAGAAGCTCTCCTCGTCGTGCAACATATTTTATCATAAAAATCGAACCAATATCTCTACGTGAAAATATCTTCCGAACATTGTTTGTCGTATCCACGACCAAATACGTCTACTCAACAAGTTTATCCATGGCTCCCTTGTTGTGTTCTGAGGATGGCTGTAGCGATGACATTTTGCCCTTCCCGCCGGCTCTCTACATGCGCGGCTGCTCCGATTCGAAGCACAAAGAAGCTGCTGTTGGCGAAAGGGAAGCAGCAAAGAATGCTGGTGCTGGGGCCGCCGCAAACAGTCCTTGGCGAGAAAATCATGATGAACTACTTGACTACACGACAACCGAACAGGAGGGGCATGATCATCGCGGTCTTGAAATAAAAATTTGTGCTGGAAAAAATAGTACCACCAGCGACAATTGTCAAACTGCATCGAAGACAAAGCAGACTCGAATCGGCACAACAACTCCGGCGGCGTGTAATCGCCGCGATCCTGATGAACAAAGCTTGAAGCTGACGTGCCAACTGGAAGCTGCGAGAACCAACAACCAGCACCACGAGCTGCTGCAACACGAGCAGCGCCAGCAGCACCAGAAAAATAATAGCTCGGCGGCTTTGAAAAAGAAAATGATTGCCAATTCCTCCGTTGCATTGGACGTAGAGCCGTCTCGGCGCAACGGGTGGCAGCGGCCCTTGCGGATCGCCCAGATTGCTTCCTGGTGGATTTTTGGGTTGGACATGGTCCTGATATCCTGGTTTCTGTTCCCGCAATCACTCGCCTTACTGTCGTCCTCCGCCCCCGCATCGACGAACAAAGCACTAGCCATTTGCCTCGTCTGCTGCAACGTTGGTTTTTACCTCTCGCTTTTGGTGCTCTACGTCGCAGCCTACTTGGCCCACGAGATCGACCCAGCGGACCCCCTGGCCCCAGCCGATCGCCGCTACCCCGAGCGCCGGAAGGACGGTTTGTGGAAAAGGTTTGTGCACAAACTGGTCACCGAGTACTGCGTCAAACTCTGTGTTTCTCTCGGGTCGGCGTTTTGCGGCTGCGTCGCGATTGTGCATTGCAAAAATGTCTGGGTCTGGAAGAATACAAACTTGTGATGCGCATTTCAGAACACAGAAAGATCTCTCATGCATAGGTAGCAAAAGCTGGCCACTTTCTGTGACCAAAATGGGGGATTTGTCATGCGGATTCGGCATTACGGAAGCTTTTCGACACCTGTGACGCTAGAGCTTCCATGCCAGCCCTTCTGTGTCATGCAAAAACAGCATGACTCTTCCAGATCCAGACCCAGACACTTTTACATTTGATAGCGATACTGGTGAACGGGCACCAGCGGGGGCTTCTCGCGGCGGGGAGGAAAAAAAAGCTGTACCAGCAGAAGGTCGGTGTTGATGTCGTGGAAGACGACGATAAAAATGAACAAAACCACTGCCACCGTGAAGATCATGGGACGAAAGCAGGGCAACAAGCAGTGCAGCTAGCAGAAATTGAGGAAAATGATGACCAGGACCTCGACCTGTTGTACTGCACGATTTGTCGCTCCAAGGTGCACAACAGTTCGAAGCATTGCACGGAGTGCAACAAGTGTGTGCTGCACTTTGACCACCACTGCGTCTGGCTGAACACCTGCATCGGAAAGAGAAACTACAAATTCTTTGCCGTCGCCATCTGCGCCGTGGCGGTGGTGTGCACCATGGTAAACTTGATCGTGTTCATCCTGCTACACTTGTACCTGAACATGGAAATCGACGAGGATCAGCACAGGAGCAGGGAAAATGAAAATAACTCCAACCTCGTTCTCCTCGAGAGCCCGACTGTGTCCGAACTCCTGTGGTCCAAGTGCGGCCCGGAACAGAGCGATGATCGTCACGTGGCCTACTTCTGTTCCGCGTTGCATCCCACGCTCTACGCCGTCCTTCTCGTCATCAACCTGCCCTTCTGGTTCCTAAATAACCAACTCTGCTTGTTGCACTTGTACCTCTGGTGGAACGGTTTAACAACGTACGAGTACATCATGATCAAGCTTGAACGAGAGCTCCAAGCAGAGAGACGGAAAGCAGAAAGACAACTGGAGCAGAGCAGAGAGCGGACCTACGAGAAGAGCAGCGCGAAAAATACTGCTGCTGCGGAAGGAGGAGGAAGTGCGGGCGAGGACCAGGACCAGATCGTGATGTTCCTCAAGTCGGGACGGAGACTTTCGGTAAAGCGGTCGCTGAAGGCCTTGCCTGCGGTTTGTGACTGGTTTCTCTTCCTGAACAAAATGAACGGCAAGAAGAAAAACAAGAACGCAAGCATGATTTCCGCTGCAGGAGAAGGTGCTGGCGCGACGACGTCTGCCAAGGTAGAGGGAGGGGACTCTTCTGGAGCAGTGTTGCAGACCGCGGATGCCTGTGTTAGTGCTACTTCACGGGTGGAGCTGCTGGCGCAACAGAGTCACAAGGCAGACAATTTTGATGGGCACCATCAACATTCCTGTTTTTCGCGACCATCTTCATCGAGCAGCGGCAGCGGGACGGAGGGCGGGTCCGCGTCGGCCTCTGGTGCAACGAACAGCAACCAGAGCGATTTAATATTCCACGCAGAGGAGAGCGAAAAGAAAACATCAAAGACAAGCCTAAGTAGTAGTACCAGGGGGTGGAAGGACAGAGGTAAGGCAAGTGAAGTGGCGACCAACTCGTCTGGTCCCGCATGTCTGTGCGGTAAAAACTACACGAACCATGACAGGACAGACATCGTTGATGGTCGCGTAAGGCCTGCTGTTACAAGTAGCCCAAAGCACAGCACCGGTAGAAGTGGTACTGGGCCGCACGAGTGTAGTAGTACTTCTGATGTCGCTGGCGTTTCGATGCTGAGCATCGATGTAAATACGGAGGAAGAAGTAAGTAGATGTTAACCGTCAGGTAGTATTTTGACGGTGCACGAAACAACTTCACAAACTTTGATTTGCAGTTTTATGTCTCGACTGCCCGCACCAGCGCTGCACTTTCACCTGGATTGCTTGCTGCACGTTCGCGCAGAGCTTTTTGTTACCTTGTACCCAAGTCGTGATACAATTACAACCGCAACTCTCATTCTGGCATTGTCGCCGATCTGGATGAGGATCGTACTCCTGGACAATGATCCCCTCTACCACTCTCCGCCATCGGTAAGAGATTCTGGGATTTGTCTGATGCGACGTTAAAACTGTTGATGATTTGTCTTATGTGCTCTGAAACTTGTTGATGAAAACGGTGATCTGTTGTGATGATGAAGTTGAGCTGGTCCGCTCCCGTTGCGACGATTGCGACGAGGGGCAGTAAATGTTGAAATTTGTCTTACGGCTGGTCCACCGCTACGAACACATGCGATCCACCAACAAAAGGTTCCTGTATCTACTAAATGCGGTCAGAATGATTTATCGGAAGTTCGGAAGATTCGGTAAAAAATCGTCGAGGACAAGGGGCTCGCTGGAAATCAACCTCTAATCGTTCATTGTATAAACTCTCCGAAAGCGGAAGCCCCACCTCCCTACATCGGCAAGTAGACGTGTCAGTAGAAATATTGCGCGAGGTATTGGAACTACTACTACATTTGCAATGAGCTGCCATGTATTTTTGAGTAAACTTGATTACCAGTTTTTGATTTTGTATGATCGGCCTGAGAGACCTACTATTAAGTTAGTAGCTCGAATTAGACTGTTTACGGTAAAAGAAGGAGAAACACACCAAAAAGGACATTTTTTCTGTCAGATGAAAGTCTTTTACTTCATCTTTTACTCTTCTGTGTAAGTAGAAAAAGTGAATCCCAATCTGTCTCCGTCTTCGCCTCCCTTTAGTTTCGCAGTAAGTATTGAAAAAATACTCGAACATCGTTGAACTATCGCATTGCTCAAACCAATTTAAACAATACATTTTGTTTTGTAAAACTTAACCTTAAGGATCGGATTCTCGGGCTTCAACTAGACTAAGTACAGTACCTGGACGGATGTTCTCGGTTCCACGGGTATTAGCCTTGCTCGGCAATCTTTGCGTCTTCTTGGCACAACTCAGCGAAATTTGCAGCACGACCGTTTCCGCCAACTCTTTACCCCGAAACCTGTTTTGGCAAAACGCAGCTAGAAAAGTATTGCTGCAGCGACGCGCAGCGGAAGTTGTCCGTTCCGGCGCGGCAGGTCCAGACTGCAATGAGTCAGCGAGCGACGCCGCTTCCTGCGGCAAAAGCCCGAACGCTGGTTGTAGGTACTGTGTGAACTTTCCGCCGGCCGAGCGCTGCCGCCTTCCCGGTCCCGAAGACTACTGCGCGTTCAGCGTGTCGCTTGCTGAGGTGGAAGCATTTCGGTTGCACTATGACCCATTTGAAAAGATCCCGACGACGGCGGTGTGTGACGAGTCGGGTCTCATACAACAGATGGAAGACGAAGTTTGCGAGGCAGGGCTTTGGAACATGACGGTCACCTGTGACAAAATGGGGCAGTGCTCCTCCGTTATCGCAGTCAAAAACTGTTTCCTTGTGAAAGAATTCGGAAATGGCACCAGAGCGTGCAGAAGCAACACAGAACAGGTTGCTCTGCTGCTAGTGCGAGGCGGTCAAGGTGTCTAAGTAGATGATTAAATAAACTACGCTGGTGGTGTATGAGAACCGCATACCTGCGAATCATTGATTGTCTTATTCACGCGAAACAAGAAGCTTGTATGTCAACTACATCCGCCTCATGCACAAATGGTCACAATGAAACAGCTTTTTTTGCTGGACTTCCGTGGGCGGTAACGATACAAGCAGTGCGGGACCGCACGGTAACAACGTCAAAATGCCAAACAAACCGTCCGTTTGCAAAGAAGCCTACGGCCGGCGCAGTCTCGGCCTGGAGGTTCATCAGGATAAAGCGAGCGGCTACGGGTTTTTCTTATCCACCTTGATCAATAACGCTGGGCTTTCCCTCGCTTTTTTGAACACGTTTCGTGCACAGTACTACAGGAATCAAAGAGTACTAGTTCGTGGCGAGGACGACCACGAGCGGGTGGGCATGACCGCGACCGCACGCACGGCTGCTGGGATCAAGCACATCGTCATGAATCCCGACGCAAAGCTCGGGCTAATGAAGCTGCCGAAAAACTGCAAGAAAAAGTTGGAAAGAACCCCCGGGACGACCAAGACGTCCTCTTGGCTAGTGAAAGACTGCTTCACAAGCGCGCTGCAGTCCCACGTGGAGAATTCGTTGCGGCAGTTCCTCGATGCCTTCCGGCTAAGCCACGGCGAGTTTGACTACCAGGAGTTCTCCTACTGGGTTCATTTGCCCAGGCACAACATGCGGGTAAAGGTCGTTCCATCGGGTGTTAGCACGGTGTGGGATGGCTCCGCAGACGGAGCCGGGCAGTACTCTTGGGATTGGCGGGAAGAAAAGTTTGATTGGACCCTGTACGAAGATGAAGAAGACGTCGCTGCCGACGAACCACGTAAAAGTGTTGTGGGACCACCGGTGAAGGTGAAAAAAGGCACCGGAGATTATGAAGCCGGCGGTAAAAATGATAATGCTTCCGAGAAGGTTGCCCCCGTTCTTGGCAAAAATAAAAGTCTGGTGGAGAAAGAAAGAACAGATGCGTCGAAAAGAACGCAGTCCGTCTTTCCGCTGCGGTCCCGAGGGATTGTGCACCGTAGCGACGGTGCCACGATCACCTGTAAAAAGTCGGTTTTTCCGGATTCCTGCCCGCCCTCGACCCGCGACCCGCAACACGAGGAGAACGCGAGCCAGGGTCTGAACGACGGTGCGTACTACTACGTCGGAGGTGGGAACGTGTATGATCTGATGGCCGATGTTAAGAACCCTGCCTTGAACGAGGAATCTGCGGACGCGCTTTCTTACTGGCAGGAGATGACGCGACGCTGGCGTTCCGGTGTCATAATGCTGGGGGGACAGAGCGCAGGCAGTATGGTCATGAACGGTTTGGGCAACGACTTTTTGTACTTCGGGCTCTCCGGTGACCCGCCACCGCACCTACTAGAAACCGACAGTGAGTCCGGAACGCTTCCGTACCGCGTGTCGAAAGACGGGAACTACGAGCTGGGCTGCAAAGACAGACCGCACCTGGTCACGGGGTGTGAATTTTCTAAGCCCGGAGTAGAATTTGTGAAGATAAACGACGGAACAAAGTCTTCGACTGGAGGTGGCCACAGCTGCGAAGTGGTTGATAGGAGTTTGGAAGCGTTTCAGAGCAATTTGCAAACTCCGAGGGCGCTGTTTCCCCTGGCGGCCCGTCGGTATCAGACGGACCAGTGCGATGAGGACTGCCTCAACCAGTGTCAATCAGCGAGCTACAGCTGCTCGGAGCTGTCCGGCTTGTCCGTAGGCGGGCGGCAGTTCGCGGAAGCGTGCAGCAGCATGCAATATTTGCGTTGGGACGAACCTCTGCAGGAGGGGTTTGGTGGAGATGGGAACAAGACGAATATTTACACAGCGAAATTGCCCGATATCCAGCCGAGCAGCTACGTGGTTTACCATGCCGGCTGTTCGGACCCCAGCATCCCAGGAAACGAGAAAAAGCACATGACCCCTGTCGAGCTAGAGCTGACACCGGAAAAAATTCGTCAGAAAATCGAGGACCCGAGCTTTTATAGGGAGGGCCTGGCGGTCGGGCGGCAGATTACGAAAATTCACGTGCAGTTTTCCACTCACAGCTGGATGGAGAGCGTCATGGCTGAGGCGAGCCGGCTGAAGCCCGCCGGCGCGGAACCTGCCTCTGTCGGCGGGCCGCTGATGGGGGTGGCGGCGGACCTGGCCCCGCGGTGGATGTTTGCCGTGTGGTTCTCGACGGACTCAGATTGTCAATTGAACCGCGCGGACCTATTGCCGGGCGGGTGCGCGAAGACGCTGTCCGCGCTAGACACGATGCGCGTGCAGCATTATGTCTTCCCGGGCAAGGGAACCAGTAGTACCAGCGACGCAACTACCGGAGCAAAGGTGGACTGTCCGTCGCGGAGTCACTTCATCTCCGAGAAGTACGCTGTTTACACGAACGCACGGGAGGACGTCGACGATCCCCGTGGTATATTAGACTCGAGCGAGGACCCCCGGTGTCAGCCCACTACGGGCGGGGAGTGCAACGCTTGGAACTTCGGGGGTCTGCGCTCGCGTTTCATGGGACTCGGCTGGCTAGAGAACCTCTCCATTCGTCCGCACGCCTGCTTGGCCAGCACGAGAAAAGTCAAGCCGGGCATCCAACGACTAGCGCCGCGTATGCGGCATTTGTCCCCTTTCTCCATGTTGGTAATCGCTGATGGCATGGCAGTCATTCATGAGGCCGGCGGCACAAACCGGCGAGTGGTAATCGGAAATACGGAATTCAGCCTCAAGAAGAGATACCACAACGACGGCGCTCGCGATCGCGAAGATCCACCTCGCACTGTCCTCCCGCCGTCCTCTCGTGGTTCAGGAACACCACCTCCTGCCTCTGCGCCGCGCAAGGACCACCCGTCGCTGTTGTCTCTCTTTCTAGGATGGGTTTGCTCCGGTCTCTGTAGTCTTCTGTTGCTGCCGGCTCAGGTCGCACTCTTTCCTCAACATTCGGCCGCGTGCTTCCTGGATCCCTGCTGAAGACGGGTTCGTCGGATTCTACGGGAAGACCACGGAGACGGAAGACCGCGCGATCTTGTACGTTGAGGGGGTTGATCTTGCCTGCCACTCAAACACGCCAATACGAGAAAAGCCGGACTGCAATGCGCGACCTTGTTGCGGTAGTGTAAGTACAGGTTGCTCAGCAATCTATCATGATGTCGAACACCGCTGCTCTCTGTCTGTACGATTATTTAGACTGGTCCGCAACTTATCACACACTAAGTGTTTGTAGGGTAAGTCTAAGTAGTATTTTTTTCCTTCCACCTCGACAGTCGACGCGTAGATGCGGATTGCCCCAGCTTTCCCTCCTCGTCGACTCAGTTTTTTTGTTTCCACCACTGGCAGTATATCTTTTTTCTGTGCAAGTTTTTTGAAGGTTTTTTGAAGGTTTTTGAAGACTCCCCAGTGCAAGTTTTTTGAAGGTTTTGTTTGGTAGGTTTGGCTTCACGTAGGTAAGGTGTCCCAGGTTTCCCTCCGGTTCTGTTGTCTGCTGAAAAAAGAAGGAATTTTGAACGAAGAGCAAACATTTCTCATTTTACGACCGATCCTGGAGCTGCGAGTGCGTAGCTTCAGTTTCGAGTCCGAGTTGGGGGGCAGATAGACGCCCACCACTCGATCACCCGAAGTCCGAAGTATAATCCTTTTCATCGTGGTCTTGCGCATCTGCACCCCTACGGTATAAATATATTCGTACGCCGAAGCCGTCGCCGACTTTGTTTGTGTCATGGTCATCCACGTCCGCGGCGGCGCGCGATAGGTTTATCCATCATTCCAGTAATCGATGAAGGCGGTAAGAAAGGAAATCTGTGAAAGATTTTCTGGAGTAATGGTTCAGTAGAGAAGGATTCCCACTACTGAAGAGTGACGGCGCACACGTAAGTATATACGATTGATGAATGATTTTATCAGAAGATACACATTCTCCTTTGACAACTGCATGATTCAGTACATATTTTGTTGCGCAGCCGGAATTATATCTCAAGAGTTAGAGTGCTGAAATTGTTTTGCATGACCATACACGCCCAGTCGACGTTCTTGTTGGACCCTCGCCCGCGGCTGGGTCTATGATTACGTAAGAGTGTGTGAAAGGCAGCGCAGTGATGTTGTGATGTTTTCCACTCCTGTAAAATGAACAAATGCGCAGTGTTGAGGCTGCAACAAGACTGGCAATACGGCGAGTAAGGCGAGAAGGGCCTTTTTATGAGCAGTCCGACGCAAAAGCAGGCGGGATGTGTTTGCTCCGACGTCTCTGTTCACGACATCCAAGAAAATTTTTACTTAGAAAAGATCTCGTCGTGTAATACCTTCGACAGAGGGACATTTTTGTTTCGGTGAGAACAACGTGTGCAATATATTCGTTCCCAGAAGAAGCTGCTGCTCCACTCCTGCTATCGAAACTTCAACTATTATGATTTCGTTTCCAGTTTTGTTCAATAGTCTGAAAGAATCATATGGGATCGGTTTTGAAGATCGAGATGTTGCACAAGTACCAGATCCTGAAGATGATCACGAACTCCAAGAAAACAATCTCGAAGCCAATATGAATCCGATGAAGTAAGTACAACTAGTGCATCACGCGACGTCGTCGACCACTAGCATGCCCCCACAGCTTCTGCGATCGGTTGTTGTCTATCAAGGAAGAAATAGCAAAGCGAACTCCCGAGACGTCGTGTTAGGAACCAGAGGTCAGCGTGAGGATGTCTTCCGCGCACTATGGCCGTGTCGTGCCGGTGGCTCTGCAAAAGTTCCGACGGCTCGGGTGCTGGCCGTTGCAAAAGCAGCAAGACTCTTTCGGGTTCTTTATTCGATTACTTTTCTCATCCGGTGACCTTTCGCAGATGAGGGAGAAGTTAGGAACACTCGTAAAAAAGCGTATCTTGCGGTCTACTCCTTTACACCCGAACTACGCGTACGAGTTGCCGGGCGACCTTCCTCCCGGAATGCACTTTGTCGTTTGTCTGACGCGGCTGCGCCACGTGTACCGCCTGGACAGCTGGTTGAATTTACGCAGGGGTCTGGATACCGTTCTGAAGCAGAAGCTGAAGCTGAACCAGGTCGTGTCCTCTCCGGATCATAATCTGTCCGGTCAGAAGACCGAGCAGGCAGGAGAAAGTAAAGCCCAAGTGGGGCGGCCCTCGTGCTCGTCGTTATTTTCAAGTTCCTCTCTAGGAGGCGGAGGAGCGCAACAACAGGACAGCCTGCGTTGCTCGCCTTCTCGCGCGGAAAAAATCGAAACTGGCGAAAACGAGAAAGTAAAAGGGAACGGCCCGACAATGAAGAGAGATGAATGCGTTCTAAAATCTTCAGATATGTTTGTGAAAAAACCCGGACCTCCTCCACAACAAGAGGCTCCCCAGAGAAGTGGACCAAGAACTACTACGAGTCTGCGACACAATTCGCACCGCGAGTATGGGGCCTATCCCGCCGACGGTGGCTGTCTGAGAACAAGAACTGCTTTTCCTGCAGCTAGCCCGCCCGCACCGACTTGTGGACTCCTCTTGTCGCGACCAGATGAGGACCACGCACGGACCTCCGCAGGTGTTGATGAAACAAGCGCGGCTAAGACTATCACCTCGGTTGAGGAGGAGCAGGACAACGACAAGCAGCGCGGTAACGAAAACACGCATGTGCTACAACAAGATGTTGGGTACTATCAAGTAGATGAACTACATCAAGAACTACCGAAAGTGCTACCAAACAATGTGGGCTTATCTTCTTCTGGAGATGAAATGCGCATGTACGTTGTGTGTATGTTGCCCATTTTCCCGCTGACCAGACTGATGTGGCACTTTTTCGTTCGCAGGTGGCGCAACAAGTTGGAAAAGTATTTCGCGGAGGTCAGAAGCCTAAAGGACCACAGTCACAGCGAGAGCACAACAAGCATCAAGAGTTGTGAAGATCCGCTCGGTGAGGAGGCAGGAAAAATCGAGTTTCTGACCACGGTGACCTGGAAGAGTCAGTATTTCCGTGAAATGAAACTTCACGAGGATGGTCGTGCGTGGGGTTTCTTGGTTAAAAACGACGGGGAAATCCTCTGGTGTTCCGACGAAGATTTCGACGAAGACACGCAGGGCCCGATGGTTGAGAAAGCGGTGGAGGAAGAGGTGCAGTGGCGGGTGAAAAGACAAGCATTACTGCTCGGGGAGATGGGTGGCCAGTCAGCCGGCGAGAAGCAACGACTTGTAGAGTAAAAATCATAATAGTCGTGTTTCTTCAGGACGGTAGTTGTGCCACGAGTGAAGTACGTCAAATTTGGCAGGACCACGGAATGACGGATAGAAGAGACGACAGAAGAGTGCTGATTTCGACATGTTCCTAACACAGCCTTTTAGCCCCTGGGCTCTCGCATTAATTTCGGATTTTGCTACATTGTGCATCGTGAAAATTACATGGGCCGCAAGGTTTTGGATTGCTGGATAAAATTTGCTCGCGGTTCTTTCTCCTTTCGAATTGACTTTGTCTCCATATCGGTCTGACTTTGTTATTCCTTCGCGCTGATTACACACAAAATTTTCTCATACGTTTGAGTTTTTTTGGTCGCAGTGGCGTTTGCTCTGTTCTGCGTGCACACTGTGGGGGTATCATTTGTTCGCCGCATGATGCACTTCTATCAGGTCCCTACCGCCCCCAGCATGATGTTTGGCTCTACGCATTGACGTTCTTCGATTCACCTCGCACACAGTCCGTGCGTGTTATGTCACAAGTGATCATTCGATATCGATGGTGAGCCTTGGTAGGCCTTGATGAAAAGCCTAGCAGTTTTACTTACTTCTATATCGTCATCATGAGGACGAAATGTGCCCGTTCTCGTGGTACTGGTGTAGATCGATTTACATCTCAAGTCTTCATGTCAAACAAGCTTCATTGTCGCGCTCTTGCCGACCAAAATGAAAGATCCGATCCTTTCCCGACACGTTTTCCTGTTGAAGGAGCGATCGACAATTTGCAATAAAAATACCTCCTACAACTGCCACTTTCTACCAACTTTTCTTGACGGAAAACGACCTCGATCGTCCTGTTTGGCGAACTGAAACTGATATTCGAAGGATCAAGACCGTCATGCCTCCGTCGACGCCAGCTGCCTCTTCGGGTCCTTCCCCTGAGACCACGAGTGTTGCATCCGGTCGCGGTTCAGTACCAAGCGGGAAACCGCCAACGCTTGCTGCGCCCGCGAGTGGAGCAGGAACTGCTTCGAAGACCTCGTCCTCAAGAGCGGGCCTCATCTCGAGCTGGTTTCATTCCGCAAGTATCCTGTGCAAATGTAGCGTGTTCGTACTAGTTGTAACTACACTTCTGCAACAGCAACAGTGGCAAACAAACTTGCATGCTTTGTTGTCTATTATTTCCAATTTCGTTCTCTGATACCGATTGTGTTTGTGGAAAAAGTTTTATTGTCTTGCAATTACGACTAGAACGATTTTGTTGCATTGCATATCAAGCTCGAGCACGTCTGCAGGAGGTTCGCGGTCATCGAAGTCGAAATCGCGATCGGCTGACACGACGGAGAAGAACCCGGTGCCAACAGCACAAGGTGTAGTTGGTCCACCTCAGCCAGCGAGAACCTTCGTCGACCAATTGCTCGATTTCCCCCCGAGGGAACAGGTACGGCTGCTGGTGAATTTTCTGAAGAAGTGCGATCTGCAGACGGTGCGACACGTGTGCACAGACGCGGAAGTCCTGCGCAGGCTGGACAATTCCGGGGGGAGTTGGGTAGATGCTGGTTGGGGAAGTGCCAGAACTTCTACCGCGTCTTCACAGGAAGAGCAACATCTTGTGAAGGGTGTGGTGGGAAAGAACGCGCTGAATTCGGCGAGAACAAACGTGAACAGTCGGATTTTGGCCCAGTCTGTCACGGCGCACGTGTTTCATAGTTGTGAAAGCCTTCGGCTCCAAGAACAAAGCGCAACTGTAAGCGGTTCATCCAGGAGCAAAAGTTCTCACACTGTCGACTCAGGTGGAGCAGTAGTTCATCTGCCGCCTCCACTGGCTTCACCGCTCGCGGTAGGAGACGCAGCACGAGGTACTGGTGGGGTAGGAAGTTATAGTTCCTCCGCGCATCCCCATCCGCATCCGAACCCCACTGGCCTGTCGCACAGTCAGCAAACTCAATCTCCCTTCTCGTTCAACGCGAAGCCACGGTCTGCGTGGACCCTGAAAAACCGGCTAAAGCATTCCGTCGCGAAATTTCGCGTCGGGAGCAGTAACAGCTCCAGTTCGAGTAGCAAACATTATACTGGTGGCAACTACAAATCTACTTCCGGTGCTGCGAAGGAACAGAAAAAGAAACATGCCGGTGAGAAAAATGACACCATGGAAAAGATGATGGAGGAACTGTCTGACAATTGGATCCTGGTCCTATCAGAGGACGAGCTCCTGTCTCTGGATTCGCCGCAACTTCCGGAGTGCACGGAAGCGCAGTTGCGCGCGTGGAACGACGCTGGAATAATTGCGCCCGATTTTTTTGGAATCATGTTTCAAGGAGATAGTAACCAAGAAGATTCGCAACTTCACATCAATACTGAAAAGCTGAGCAAAATCCGGCAGCTGTGCTACGAGTTCGGCATTCCAGGGGACCGCAGAGCGAGACTATGGCAGGAGCTGTTGAGGTGGCACGCCGGCAGAACAACTCCTGGCACGACCCGTGGCGCACCTGAGATGATACCGGAGCAAGTCGAGAGAAGCAGAATTTATCCCAGACAGCTATCGTTGTTCGAACGAAAGTACGGGTCCGCGGTCGTGGAAGAGTTGCAACTTTTTCAAAAAGCGAGCGCGCAAGCGAGTCCAGCGACGTCTTCGTTCGACACGGGGACAGGACCAGGGCGAGAAGAAGGCGAGCCTCCGCATGTCGATAACATGATAAGCTCCTCCGTCACGGCCACTGCCACATCATCGCAGTCGTATCAGATCCCGAACTACGTAGTGCGGCAAATCGAAGTTGATCTCCCTCGCACGCTGCCGAAGGCGCTAACGGAGGACTGGCAGCGCGACGCCGTGCGAAAGATTCTGAAAGCCTACTGCGTTTTCAATCCCGTCATAGGGTATTGCCAAAGCATGAACGTGATTGCAGGCGTTTTGGTATTCTTGCACTCCGATTTCCGGCACATCAACAGTCCTCTCAAGGAGAACTGCACGACGGGAGGTGCAGCTGTCACATCCACTAAGAGCAGTCACGAAGATCTCGTCATCGTGGAAGCGGCAGATGCAGCTGCCATGAGTAGTGACGCACACGAAGCACGACCAGCTGAACAGCAACAACGTCTTGCATCGCCAAGCGGAACAATGGCCCTCGCACATCAGGAAACAACTGTACACGACCAGAAGCAGTCCAAGGAAGAGCTGGAACAAGAACAGGTCGTGCATCTACTATCAGATCCCTTCGCGGAAGAGCGGCAACAGGAGTTTGATTTGTTTTGCGAGATTCTGCAGCATCTGACGCCCAACTACCATTCTGTGAGCATGAAGAGTCTGATGGTGGACATCAACGTGTTGGAGAAGTTGATGCAGGAACTATGCCCGAAGTTTCTGCAGAAAATTCATGCGGCGAACCTCGACCTCCTGTTTTTCGCGGTCGACCCCTTCCTGTGTTTGTTCGGTCACACTTTACCCCTTCCCGCACTGATTCGGTGCTGGGACGTGTTCATCCTAGAGGGTCCGAAGGCGATGTTCGCTCTGTTCATTGCTCTGTGCGCCATGACCGTGGTGAACATGAGTAAAGACCGCCCGACCTCCCAAAACGCGCCGGATAAAAACGCCGGGCCGGAACGGCCAGAGGAGATCATCGGTCAATGGGCGCGAGAGGTGCGCGAACTGGGGACAATCGACGTGAATGCGATTTTGGTGAAGACACGGGCGTTCCTAGACACGGGAGCCATTACTGCGGAAAAACTTGCGTTGTTGAGAAAACAGGACCCAAATTTCGTAGCGCAGGAAGATAGTTCGAATTCAAATTTTCTCTCTAACGCTACCATGAATCATACAACTACTCCTGCGTTTTCAGGAACAACTACAACATCATCCCGGGGGGGAGGAACCAACTTTGACATGATCGAGAAGGCGGCCGCGAGCCTGCTTAATGGCTTCAAGTATTGAGAAGTTGGGAAGCATTTTTGTCGACTGACATCAACTTCTGTCTAATTGGAGCGCCACTTTTGGTAGAGAAATGGCACCGGCGCAAGTTCTTGTGCTTTGCTCCGCCTTGCAATTGTTGTTCATCTCGGTGCAGCATTGAAAATCGTCGCTGCCACCACGTTTGTAAAATTGCTTCTGTTTTTTGTTTGGGTTTATGGAAACGAGTTTTTGGCTATTGATTCAACGAAAGCGAAACGCAAATCGCTTAGATTTTGGTCCTCGGTTTATTCTTTTATGATGAGACGATCATCATCATGTGTGCTTTCCTCGGCAAAAAAAGCGCAACCATCAGAGAAGAGCAAAAGAAATGATCATGTTTATTTCATCACACCTGGGCTTTGTTCCTGATCTGGCTCCACTTGCAAAAACGCAATAATCATGAAGGCAATGCGAGCGCACCTATTTGGTGTTTTCCGAAACTGAACGACTTAGTTTGCGCACTTATTTTCTCCAATTTTCTTTTGCTTTGCCTTTGCCTCACCTTAGTTTACGTAACTACTCCCAGCTTCTCGCAAACAAGATGCCGGCCCACTCCGTTCTGCTGGCTACGGAAAAGCCTTTCGCCGGCCCGGCGGTGGCCCAGATCGACGATGTGCTGAAGCATGCGGGTTACACGCTGGAAAAGTTGGAAAACTACAAGGATGTGGGAGAGCTCAAAACCGCATTGGCAAAGTCCGAAGCTGCGATCGTGAGGTCCGACAAAATGACGGCCGAAATTATGGACGCCTGCAAGGATTCGCTGAAGCTCATCGTCCGGGCGGGAGCCGGGGTCGACACGATTGACCTAAATGCGGCGACCGAAAGAGGTAAATAGAGGCGAAAAGAAGTAGTGCTTGCTAATGCCATGTGCTGTGGCAAAAGGACCAGCGACTTCGGCACGGTTTCTTTCAATTATTGCAACAGAGCTGGTCCATCACGAGCGCGCTGCTGATAAATTTTTAGCTGCACCAGACAGAGGTACGAAAAATGTTTCAAGGTATGGTCGTTATGAATACACCGGGGCAGAACTCGAATGCGGTGGCTGAGCTTGCCTTTGGCATGATGATCACACAAATCAGAAACCACTACGACGGAAGCTCTGGCTACGAGTTGAAGGTAAGAAGGAGGGGCGAAGGGTGTTTTTTGTTTAAAGGCATTAAGATCATCTTCAGGGTGCATGCTATTTTTTATGTGGAGTCCTCGCTGCTGTTGCCTTGGCTGCTGATTAGTACCGTGCTGCGCCAGCTTTTGATAAAGAGAAAACTCTCCAATTTATTCAGGGCAAGACGCTGGCCCTGCACGGGTTCGGGCAGGTAGCGAGGAACATGTTCCGATTGGCGAAGGGCTTCGAATATCCTGTGTAAAAACGTCCCCACACCAGAGTCAACATGGGAAATCTGCTAAACAAATCCCACAGCTTTGATTGCTGCGCATGACAAATTTGGACGCGTAGTGTAGTGCTGTTTGAGCTAGTTCAGCAGCATTACAGGTCTAGTAGCTCATGCTGATTGGAGCATGACAAATTTCAAAACCGCATTAGAAAATGCTTCTCGTGGGGCTCCGCATGAGAAACATTTTAAGCATGCAGAGTTGCATGACAACTATGGTGTGGGGACGTTTTTACACAGGATATCGAAATGAAAGTGCTGGCATACGACCCTTTTTTGAAGAAGGAAGACATTGAAAGTGCCGGCGCAGTGCCAGTGGGGTCGGTATCGGACTTTTGGTCACAAGAAACGCAAGATTGTCTGTGTTTTTCCTTGCGCAATAAATCTTCTTGTTCTTTGTATCAGGATCAGACGCAGAAAAAATGGTCGCGCGCCGCGCACGACAGCAAATAGGGACCTGCTAAAAAGTACAGCCGGGTCATAATTATCATATCAGGTAGCAGAACTTTTCGACGCGAACTTTGTTTCCCTCCACATTCCCTGCACTCCGGAAACGAAGGAATCGATTGGAAAGGATTTCCTGCTAAAAATGCCAAAGAACGGGGTTTTGGTCAATACCGCTCGAGCCGAGGTTGTCCACGAAGCAGGACTGCTGGAGGCGTTCGCGGAACGTACTTGAAACCTAGCAATTCATTGTGTTTACTTTGCACTTTTCTTCATCGCTGTACGCGCTTACACTTAGCAGAGTGGCAGCTGGTGATGCAGAAAAGTATGAAATAGGTTTTCTTTTGCAGCAGATTCGAATCAATATTGTGTCTGATTGTTTCCTCTATCAGGTGCTGATCTTTCCTACATCTCTGACGTCGCCCCAACCTTTGACATGGAACAACTCAACGCTAGCAAGAAGAGGTGTTTTGTCACCAAAAAGAAGATGGGAGCGCAGACGTCGGAGGCAAACAACAACGCCGGCATCGCTGCGGCTAAGCAAATCGTGGACTTCTTTGAAAAAGGCGACGTGCGCTTTCAGGTCAACAAGCCGGGGCAAACATTTTGATTTGATGGTTCTGCAGAGACGGACGTAATTTTTATCGGGAACAAGGCGATTCTCGAAAGGATTCGACACAAGAGCGTGCTACGGTGTCAGGACATCAACAAAAGACGACAATCGACTGAAGTCTAGACGAGGAAGTACGGTATGCTACATCATCGCAGTTTTTCATGGATGCGGACTTAGTTTTGACCTAGAATTTGAAATCACTGTTGGTGTCATCTGCCCGAGCAGCAAGCACCAGACATACAACCCGTTCTGAGTGATATGTCTCCGGTCACGTCGTGTTCTGAATAATTCGATTACGATTGACTATCTCCATCCGAGAGTCGTCTTTGCCTTGGATGTCATCAAAACATTTAGAGCGTGTACATCGCAGCCGCAGGAAAAAATGCGGCCAAAGTTGAATAATGCAGATGTGTTGAGGAAAGCAAAGGCGTTTCGCATTCTTTCACAGCTCGGTTGTCTTGATGCTGGTAGATATTTTGCAGGAGTCCTGCAGTGATGTGTCCTTTTTGGATCCCTTGTTTCTTTTGACAGGCACAGTTCCCCTCTCTGTCGTGCAGTAAATCCCGCCCACGGTCAGTGCGATCAGTTACTGCTTTTGACTACATTTCGCATTCGCAAGATAAGAGAGCTTTTTCGCCCCTTTTGGCGTGCCTTTACATTCCAGAATTCCTCCACCTCTTGTCTTTGTGTGAAAAAGAAGAAAATATTCACTACCTCCGCTTTTGCTACCCTTTTTTGCTTGAAATATAAAGTTGAAACTTTCTACTCCTAGCGTGAAGGTCCGAAATATTTTACCCGTGAATCCGTAAAAGATCACCATGCACAGCGACAGTTCGTCTACGTCCCGCTCCGGCTCGCAGTTGCGAGCCGAGCCGTTGCTCCAATCTCCGTACGAGGTGCACTACGAAACGCCCCTGCAAATGCGCATGAGCGACAGCCCGGGCGGGGGCTCCTCGGCGAGCAGTTCGAATAACACGCAGCGGGAAAGTCTGATCCTGAACATCGACGTGAGCAGCATCAACGACGATCGCTCTTCGGAACCTGGTGGAGGCTCCTCAGCAAGCGGCTGGCGAGGCGCCGTGACAAAAGCGGGAAGGTGGGTGAAAGTTCTATCTACAATAGCGTGTTTTACTTTTAGGATCAAAGGAACATCGCTAAACTATGCTGGAAAGCCTCTCACTGTTGTAGCGGTGTCTAGAACTGAGACTGGCTGGCGCAGCGCTTGTATGGACGGAAATTTATGATGTGGTTTTACGTCGAATCATTATTGATTAAGTACGTCGAGCAGTTTTTCTTCTGCAGACCGCTGGCCAGTGACGACCACCCCGAGTTTTCATGCTGCTTGCCAGTCACTGTTTACGTTCTAAGGACAATCATTCCAAACAGGACCCTCTTTGTGAACCTGTGCCTGTGTCGGTGGCCGCGCCGGTCGTTTGAGTCGATGGACGTTACAAAGTGGCGCGCAGCAAACCACCAGTACCAGCGCGCCCCGCCAAACACGACACTGCAGGAGTTCTTGGATCAGAGCAATCGAGAGTTGCAGCCCGATGGCGGGGCAGAAGCGGTGGTAACCGTCTTGCCAGAGCCCGATTCCTCCAACCGGCTTAGCAAGCAGTAAGTAACGTTGATAAAACCGTGTTTGATTGATGTCTTGTGCGCGCTAGGAATTCTTTTCTCCAGTGGCATATTGCTTTTCCAAAACTCGTCCACTTTAATGTTTTCTTTGTTTCGAAATTCTTGAAGGAGGACCAATTTCTTTTTCGCATCTTAAACTTTCTTTGATATTTTCCATTTCTTCGGCGCGGTGATGTGGGAAACATAACAAAATTTCTTGCACAACTACAGCGCCCTGTTTTCTGATGAGCCGACCAACGCGGTGCAAGCCGGCTTGGAGGACGGCGATGACGATTATTTTCATGACGACGAAGACGAGGAGGTGATTGCTCGACCGAGTCTGGAAGCTGCTGGATTGCCGCAAAGTCGTGTGTTTAATATGCAGCGGGAACGGCAAGACTCGGTCGAACTGGAAGAGCCTACACAAGAAGAAGGGCCCCACGAGGACAGCAGAAAAGCCGAGAAGCAGCAGATGCTCAAGGGTCGTCCCGATAGTGCGGGTTTGACAAATGGTGGTCTTCAACAAGCGCCCTTGATGGCGGCGAGCAGGAAGACGAAAAAATCGGGCAAGAGTGTTGCAGCGAGAGAGATCAGAATAGAAGAGCACGCGGTGGTAGAGACTGGGACGTGATGGTGATCCTTATCTCTTCTGCTTTATCTCATCTCCTCATGATGAACTGCAAAAAGAGAAACCTTGAATGAAACTACATGACGAAGTTGCGCGAAAGCGACTCTTACGCATAGAAGCAGGTGCTCGTATGAAACGAAGGTTGGCGATGTCCTTGCGCAGAGCAGCTACGGAGACGTCTAGCGTGAACCACAGCTTCGGCGCATTTTTGCGCTCGTCTTCTATTTCTTCGCCATCTCGCATTAGTCAGATATTCTGTGCATCGGTCAGATGCTTCATCGGAATTATTATGAATGTAGTTCATCAAATTCAACCGTTTCTGTCGGTAGAAAATCGGTAGTAGTTGTGCCGTGTGTGACACAACCTTCGCTTGACAAATGGTAGACAGATCTGTACAAATCCGATTCCGATCAAAACTGAAATCGTTCCAGACCAGCGAGGATTCGAAATACAAATACCATGATCTGAGGAAGATCCACGACAGCAGATCTGGGCTAAATCAGGTCGCATTTACTTCGCCAAGAAAGTCGTCACCATCGTCAAAAAATCGGTCTGTCAAGGCGTTTTCATCGTCTCAATTTTCTCCATCTTCAGAGCTAAAGTAACACTCAATAGTTTGAAGAAGAAGAAGATATTTTTACTACATATCAACAAGCGACATTTGACCCTGATATTAAACCCGTTGTATATTAACCCATCAACCAAGAATTATACATCATCAACTACAAGAACAAGCGGAGTACCAATTTAAGTTTTAGTTTTGTGCCGAGAAAATTTTGAAGCTAGCAGTGATGGCAGAAAAGGAAGGAGCGCATCAACAAGACCACGTTATTGAAGAGGAGAAACAGACGGAAATCGAAATGGGAAATCAGCAAAATCGAGGGGACAAGATGGAAGAAAAACGTGCGGAAAATGTTCCCGCAGCGGAAGCGGAGCCCTTACCCGCTGCCGGCGATGTGGCGGCGGAAGCAGTACCGAAGCAAGAGAAGCGCGACAGCATTCACTCGCTCCCGTCGGAACGTAGGGCATCGCTGCATTCTGAGGTACAGCGTTTTTGTTTTTCGGTTTGGCAGCTCGCCTTGGCAGCTCGTACAGTGCCGAAGGAGCTTGTGCTAAATTGTTTTTCGGTTTTATGATGGATTTTTTACTTATTTTTTTTTGCGGAAAAAGTGAGTAGGCACATAGATACTCTTGTGCTATTTAGCAATTTTGATAAATTCGTGATCGTGGAAGTGCGGTATCAAGTCCTTCGTGCGAAGAATCATGCAATCAAAAAAGTAAAACATCATCGTTAACTAACATGCAACTACAGACCCCTGTTTCCGGAACCCACGTTGTCACCGGGGTCCCGATCGCCGCTCCCGAAACCTCTGAGGCAGAAGATAAGGTACCCGCGCCGAGCCCAAAGCAGAGATCGGCGTCTGTGGAGTCTGTTCCAGTCGAGGAACAGCACCCGCCGATCCTGGTAGAGATCATTCGCGCGAACGGGACGAAGAAGCAGGTGCGGCTGAACAAGGGCGAACGGCTAAAATTGAAGCCGGGCGAGAAGCTTGCGCCGAACCAGAGCGACCGGTTGAAGGTGCAGACGGGGAAAGGGGAAAACGTGAAGCAGGAAGCCGGGGGACAGCCACAGCGGGTCGTGGTGCGTCGCCGCCCGCCGATGTACGCGTACGACCCCTACCCGTATTATGGCTACCCCTACGGCGGGTACGGCTACGGGTGCTACGGGTACCCCTACGGCTACGGCATGTACCCGTACGGTGGCCTTGGTCTCGGATTGGGCGGCGGCATGGCGTTGGGCCTCGGCATGGGGCTGATGCTTTAAAGATCATCTGATATTTATCTGTCAGAGATGGAAGACCTGATGATCTTTTTCCAAGGAAAAGAGCGGCCGTGATGCTACTCGAAATTCCGAAGCACGAGGACCGCGGGGGCAGCGATTTTTGATTGAAAACGATAGAACAGGACGCTCCAGGGAGATGATAATAGCAAGACGCCGCAAGTGTGGTCCATAGGAGCGGGACAACTGCGGCTTTTGATTATCCGAGGCCCGGCTGACAAAAATTGTTGCACGAGGAACAAAAACTAGAACTCGTTTGACTTTGGTATCTTCACTTGTACGTTTGACGATGAGTATTTCCTCCACCACTGAAAAATCAATGTGCTTTTATTAACGAAACCACTTGCAGTTGTTCCCACTGAACTTTCACCAATCAATGTCCAGAGATATTTGTAGGTAAGAAGACGGATTATGGCTTCTCAATAATCAACATAATGGAGAACGAAATGAGGCATCTGATCGAGCCCAAGCTGCGTTTACGTCGTCGTGACGAAGATATTCTGCATCTATGCTCGTGGAATCTTCTCGAATAGACGACAAAAAGTGAGGAACTCCCACCGTAGCAACCCCCACAATGCCTTGGAGAAGCTCGTATCCATATTTCACAGACTTGTCTTCATGATTATGAATCCACCTGGGCGAAAGACCTTCATACAGCAAATATAGAGTGTTTCTATTGGAATTTTGAAAAAAGATAAAGAAGAATAATTATATCGCTATAGTCTGACGGTGACGATGGTCTTGCGGACTTGGTTGGTTAGCAATAGGATGAAGCTGTTCCAGAGCGGGATAGTGCAACACAGGGCTGATCATTCCCCTGTGCCGGTGCTTGAAATCTACCTAGTCACCCATGCAAAAGCGATCCAGTAATTCTTCTCGAGATCAAGATCAGGCAGCATGAAAAGTAAAGTCCGCATTGATTTGCCTCTCACTATCAGCTTTTTTAGCAGGTTTTTCGGCCTTCTTTTACCATCCGGAAGACAGAGAACCGATCGGGGGGCGCTCCCATTTCTGGTCGTGCGGTTGAATTGGATCTCGATCTGCTTCATACCTGCGGAATTTGTCTTCCTGATTGTTTCTGACTGAGGTTTTGTCGGGGGCGATCAGGTAGTTTCCAAGCTCTGTGTGCTGCGACGTCGCAGAACCGGGCGCCGATCCGACAAAACTTCGACCAGAAATAAAACTGAAAAAAACGAAAAGCGAAACACAACATACCTAGAATCGGTTGAGCTGCTGGCAGCTAAGTAGATGCTCGTGGCACTGCACAGAGTAACGAATGCTTGGATCGGTTTACGTTGAGTATCAGTACTCTTTCTGTCCTTTCAGCTTTTGTTGCATCTATTCTTTATTCGGTTTTGTCCGATAATATAATGGTAATGCATCGGTTAATTACAATCGTTCCCGTCAATGCTTGAGTAGCATCGTTATCGTTCTTCTGAAAAATGCGTCACACAGAGCTTGGCGTTGGTTTAGTCGGTCAAGGTACGACTCAGAAGAGGACCTGTAACGCGATATCGGGCATTGTACTTGTAGTCCTACTCACAAAGCATCGTCATCTGAGAATCTGTCGTTCCACTCGTCTCGTTTGCAAACGTCATTCACATCGGCTTCGTGAGATGTACTGTGGTATGTTTCGAAAGAAAATGCGTGCGAAAACAACGAAATTGGTTTGTCCGCCTGTTGTAACAGTAAGTTCTTGCGCAACAAGCGTGTTGGAACACACTCTATCAGCGTCACCTCCTTTTGCTTTCCTTCGCTTTTGAGCCCCCCGGTTCTAGCACACATTGAGAATTGCAATTGAAACTTACTTCAAACGAGGAGTACAGTTGTGCACAAAACTGGTTTCGCTTTATTTTTTCATGTTGCCATGCTGTCATATCCATATGCATTTTTGAAATATTTTTCTAACGTAATTGTTCACAACTCAACGACCCTTCTATTTTCTTTTCCCAATTTGAGACATTTTTTTTTATTCTGCAAAATTTTCGGAGAACTTTTTTGAAAAATATTCACCTCCCAGTGTAGAACTTTCGAACTCCTTTGCACAATCACCACAGCATCATAATTCATTCGCGGAGAGCCACGGACGTGGACCAGGAAGAGAACACACCAGCATGGCGCCGGGGAAGCGACGTTTCAACAAAAATGGTAATGTGGCGGCTCTCTACAGAGCCGCGGAATTCGTTGCCCTGCAGATGTCCTGTGGCGGGCCGGGAACGGCTTCTGCGACCAAAGTCCCTCCAGAAGTCGTGCCGGAAAGAAACCCGGTCACGAAAACTGCGGGCGATCCGGCAAATGCATCCGGTGGGGAAGAGCCAGACAGTTCGGATGAACTTTCTGAACGCCAACGCCAAACGGAATCGGAAAGCGAGAGAACCGTCTCTGACAGTGAACACGAAGCCCACGATCACGGTTGGCCGGAGTGACCAGTTGTAAATGCCGTGGCCGGATTCTTCAAGCGGGCAGAGCACCAGGGTACCGCCGGTGCAAAAACGTCCCCTGGCACTACAAATGCGAATGAGAAGAAGTACTACTTGCGCGGGAGCTCCAGGCGGAAGCGAGCCGCCTCGGCGGCCGCTGCTACCGTGGACGCAGCCGTGACCACTGCGCCAAGAGCTGACAGGCTGCGCGCGGTCATCTCGGGCCGCAACAACAGCACGGAAGATGTCCCTCCAGTACCTGGAGAAGTTGGTTCCGCGCCAGACCAGCACGAACTACATCTTGACCGAAACAGCACGTCCGTCGCACCGGCGCCAGCTGCCGCACTGTACGACGCACCAGCGCACGAAAAGATGGGCTCGGGCCGCAAGAACCAGAGCAATGCAGTTGCCGCAGCATTGCTGCCCACGAACAGCAGGAAGCCAGTGCCACGACTTGCGGGTCGGAACAAGGCGGTCGCCGACGCAGTGCATCCCGAGGCGGATGGACAGAAGCTCTCTTTGGCCCGCGACAGTGGCACAGTTGCAGCAGCAGTGGAGGACGAGCAACAGAGGCTGTTTCTGGCGTCTCATAACAGCACAGTGTCGGTAGTGGATACGGTGCGACAGAGCCCAAAGCTGCATGCGGAGCGGACCAGCACCGCATTTTTGCAGGAAGAGCAGGCAGACATGGACCCTACCGTTCTTGGTGCCGATGCTACGAAAATGACGGAGGCGCTTGCGTCGGACGCCAGGGATCTGAATCGGTACAAAGGTGGTACATTAAGAATGACCGGCGCGATCGGAGGTTTTTCGGCGGTCCTTCCTGGTGGGAATCGGAATGGAACAGCTTCAGGTGCAGATGCCGACTTGGGTGGAGGGGGGAGCTCGTATCTTGAAACACACTCATCTCACGGACAACAGCATGCGCAACCTGTAAAAGCACAGCACACGTTAAGCCATGATGTCAAGCAGGAGAAGTTCGGTTATCAGCTGACGGGCTTCGCCCGCCGCCCGGAATTGATGGAAATATCCCCCGGGGAAGAGATCGTGTATTTCGATTTTGATGTTGAGAAGCGTGGTCGTCCTTTCGGCCCGGCGGGCCAGTGGCGCGGGAGGCGCGTGACGTATTTGGGAAGGGTCTCTCGCACTCGCTCTCCGGGTCCGGACACGTACGTTGTAGGCAACGATGAAGGAATCTTTGAAGCCCCCAAAGAACAGCTCTTTGCACCTGCCTATGCGCAGCTTCGTTTCCACAGCAACAGAATCCTTGACAGGGTCATCAATGATCCTGGAGCTTTCAAGCGCTTCGTGCACGCGGAAGCCGATCGAAATAGTGACGCCGGGAAATGGGCCAAAGACCAGCTGTTAAAGCAATTTAATAACATGTTCTTCATCGGCGAAGTCGAGGCGAGAGGTTTGACGTCAGATGGTGATCTGCCATTGTCAGAGACGCTTGATGTCCGGCGAGAAATACTTCGTGTAATGCCAACTCCAACAAAGGAGCTACGCAAGCAACGGCAACCTGTTCGCAAAGTATTTGTTACGTATAACCAGAAGGCTGACGCAGCAGGAAACTTTGGTAAAGTTTACAAGAGCTTCAAAACCTACTGGAAGGAACCAACCGAACCGGCCACGGCTAGGAACGCAAATGCCGGTGGAAGACCACCACGGGCCGGTCTCATTCAGGGGCCGTCGGGAGAGTTACTTTCGGTGGACAACAAAGGACATCCAGACGATAAGTTCGCTCAGGTCATGAAGATCGTCGTTCCGAGCGCGGCTCCGAGCTCATCAACACAGAGTATGTGGGCAGTAGCAGAAGAGATTGTTGCGAACTTTTTGCTGACTTTTGGCTCGGGCTTCGCAGCTCAGACAAAAGAATGTGTTGCGCAACTCAGGCGTGTCGTTGTTATTGAAGACTACCCGGGTGGCACACAATCCGAATCCGTTCCTCAGCCCGGGTCCCGTGTTGTTACATTCCTCGAATCGGTAAGAACGGGCAAAGACATTCCTGAATTAAAAAGAATCGAGCCCCCTTCTGATCCACATCAACGACAGCCACTTTGGATCCTGCAGACGGGGTCCTGGATTCCAGGGCACTACGTGCACCGCTTTCACGAGTGCCTTAAGATTATGGAGCGAGCACAGGTTGTGATGAATGACTTGAAGCCCGACAACACAGGTAGGGAGTGGTTCAATCCTAACAATGTGCGGTTCCTTGACTTTGGGTTGGCCACCTTTCTGGCGGACGACGGAAAACCGCTCTTGGGAGAGCGGCCCGGTGGTGGAGATAAAAAGCATATATTTATATTCCGGCAATGGCATTATCGGCACGCCACTTTTCATGTCCCCTATCCTTCGCCAGGCCGTCCTTGCACCGGGAAATAAATTTGCGGTCGATCAGGCTTCTCGGAACCCCGCGGACACGTCGGTTGGATCACACACATCATCGTCTGCATCTTTATTCTCAAGCTGGAGCGTTTCTTCCAAAGACGAGCCCGATTGGTACAGCCCAAAAGCGGATTGGTTCGCGGCAAGCATCACTATGATGTTGGAGCTCCGCCCAGATTTGACAAACACACTCGTTTGCTATCGTCTGTGGAGCCGCAATCACTTCGTGAGTCCGGACATTCGGAAAAAATTGCCCCCCAACCTTCAGGTCGAACCGCGCCCGCATGATATTGGCGCTGATTTTGAAAGACAAGAGTGCCCAGTTTACGACTTCTTCACTGGGAAAATTGCCTTTGAGGCGAACATTAGAGAGGCTGTCGATCAGTTTCTCTCGCTGCCGATTCTACGTAAAAGAGAGGACTCCACCCTGGAGCGTCCGGTAGCCGTTCATCGCATGGAGATTCTGGAGAAGGACAGAAAGGCGATCGCGTCCCACATAGTGCATGCAGTGACGCCCCAAAGGGACCAGTCTTTGGAAGACCCCGCTTTCTGGGAGCGCTGAAATCAACTGGAGAACACAGCAACAAGAATTTCACCCAGTAAGAACAAATGTGAGTGCTGCAATGTGAAAGATAGAAAACCAGAGACGTAGCGACTGCGACAGCGTGAAACATATGAATCTGGTGTATCGCTTGCTGGAGTGCCGCCTTAGCGTTACCCTTCTCAGTCGCAGAACAAGAACAACAGATAAAGGCCGCAGCGTAATTTGGCCGCGAGCTAGTTGCAGTCGCTTCGTTTCTGTTTGATTTGTGCCAATTTCCTGGCGCTGAACTCCCGCAGCTGCATGCACAGCCGCTTACGTTCCTATCTAGTCCATCGCCTTTCTTGTTCCACGTTTAAAAAATCAATATTTGTAAATTAATACAAGACTTCTACACTATTTTTATATCAGTAAATCAAGACGCACCTCCGAGTCCGTCACGTGTAAGTGTAAGTAGTTCATCAGGGTCAACTTCTACAAAAAGCAAGGAAAGGACGAAAGCTACAAACAATAGATGAACATAAACGACCGTGCTCTCTTTTTACACGTATTGGCACTTTCCTCGCATTTTCTTTTTCAAAATGTACATTTTTTCTTTCTGTACTTTTCTTGTTAGTAGTAGTACTATGTATAGCTGAAACTTTTTTGTCTAATCCAGTAAAAAGATTTAATTATAGAATGTAGAATCCGAAACTTTTGTTTTTTTATTCTTTTGTTGTTCCGTAATGGGATTTTAATTTTTGAGGTCGAAGCGCACTTGTTAAGCGATTCTTATTGTTTCGACAAAGCAGGCCTTACGCAAACTTGTAGCAAAAAAAGGGTCTACTTCCTCTTGTTCGCCTTTCCGAAAAAGAACCACGACAATGACGACTTCCTTGATGTGGCCTCTCAACCAGGAGAGGAAGGACGAATGCCTACTTTAAAATTCACGGAAAACCCACACTCCGTTTTCGTTTGAGGTCAAACAAAACCGCCCAGTGCTGTTAAGTAGATGATGATGATGATAGCGCTGTCATCTTTGTGACGAAGACAAGAGATAATTATGGCTGGCTGCGTTTTGCATTTCTTTGCAGAGTTTTTTCATTCGAATCCTATGCGAAGCATCGGCGACCAACGGCGAAATCATGTCCGAGCGCATCCCACAATCCCTACTTCGAGATGAACTTTGGATCTTGCTGACGGACTTCTCAGCATGACAAAAAGAGAAAAACTGATTCAACATGCAAAACCGAAAGAACAAATATCGTCATAATCATCATGAACCAAATTTGTGTAGTATTATTTGGAAACATACTAGAGAATTTCAAGAAAAAATCATTTATTGCGCTACCTGGTGAGTCGCCTCTCACCGTGTCTTAGCGTGAGGGTCAAAGAAGTGTAGTGAAAGAGAAGTCCATTGCAATTGTTCTTTTCTGGAAAGAGGTGGATTTTCTGCAGCATGCGTGTCAAATGTGCATTGGCACTACACGTTCCCGAATGTCGGTGCTAAGTAACAAGCGACCTCTGGCAAAGATCGACCCTTCATCGTGCACATGTCGCGAAGAAACATACTCCTCCTGTGACATTTTCACTTCGATCAAGCTTCAGCGACCATTCGGTGCATATAAACAAAAAGTTCTGAATAAATTGCAATTGTCGCTTGATAAATGACTTGACTGAAGAGACAAAAAAAATTTCAGATCTTTGGGATAAATGTGATCGATCCAGAAGTGTCGGTAAACATCAAAGATCATTTAGCTTAAGGCGGCGCCTGTAGTTCTTTTGCCGTTGTGAAACTTATGTTCCAAAAACTCCAAAGAAAACTCCACATCCACTTAATTTTGCAACAGTTCCCGCATCATTTATTTTGACAACTTTGGAAACAAGCAACCTGCTAATCGATCGACCTCTTTTATCAACTATTTTCCCGACTTTTTTTACTTCTTTTACGTACTTGACAAGTTCTGTAACGACCCACTACGCTACAGTTTGCGGATCTTCTTTCATAAATCACCTTTATCTTTATGGGAAACAAGCAGAGCAAGCAAAAGGCTCCGCAAGAAGAGACCGCCACACACAAAATGCCGGAAATTTCCTCCTACCCACAGACCATTGAGCCCGCGGCTCCGCGGTCTTCCAAGGCTCCGGTTGACCCTCCGGTTCCGACCCCTTCCCGGAATTCTCAACAACAATCCGAAAGCAAGCCCGCGCCGATCGACGTCACCATTATCCGCAAGGACGGTTCCAAAAAGGTCGTCCGGTTGAATAAAGGCGATCAGCTGAAGCTCAAGCCCGGGGAGAAGCTTGCGCCCGGCCAGAGCGACAAGCTCAAGGTCGAATCGGTGTCGCAGGGACGCAGGCGTCAAGTCAGCACGGCCCCGCAGCCCCAGGTGCAGCAACAGGCTTCCAGGCCTGTTGTGGTGCAGCAACCGCAGCAACCAACCACGGTGGTGGTGCAGCAGCCGCCCCCGCAGGTGGTGTACGCCCGTCCCTATCCCTATGGCGGGTACTACGGCCGCCCGTACGGCTACGGCTATGGCTACCCGTACGGCTACTATGACCCGGTGCCGGGCGCCATGGTGGGCGGATTGGCCCTCGGCTTGGGAATGGGATTGTTGCTGTAAAAATGAACGTACTTGCTATTTTTTGTAGAATGGAAGATATTTATTGGAGTTATTCGTACATGTGTACGTCTACGTAGTTTCTAACCTAGTGTAGAATCAAATATGTCGCGGAAAAGAGAAAAAAGACGATCTTTTTTCGGTTTTGGAAAAAAAGCGGGCAATTTGTACAATCGTTAGACCAAAGTTTTATCTGTCTCGTAGAACCTCCGAAGGCCGAACAACACCTCCGGCGCATCAAAAGTACGGCTTTGCCGGATAAAGCTTGATGCGCTGTTCTAGAGCGCTTGAAAATCCTTGCCTTCGTCGAACCTCCGAGAGTTTTGAACCCTACTGATCATTTCCGTACTAGGAATTGCAGCACATAGAGCCTTTTTTTAGACATGAATTGATATCGCTTTATCGTTATCGTAATATTATTCCCCCCAAATCGTTGCTATACAATCCTGTTAACAGTCGGAAATACAACAAGAACCATCATGGTGCAAAGTCAGTAGAGGAAAAGCAAATGATGTGAGATCGCTTTCTAGGAGCTGTCCACAATTTCATATTTGCTGATTTAAGGCTACACGAAATACATACTCAAGAACATACTTAAAAATTTCATATGCACTAGCGCAAGCGCGGAAAAAAAACCATACATATGCACCGTTGCATGATAAAATGGCTGCCGTGGAATTTATACATGGCCAACTCTTGGAAAAAATGAATGGCAACTCTATATGTGGTAGAGGGTAGATATAAATGAAAGCGATTGCATTAGTTACCATCTCGAATTTGCATTGACGTATTCCTAGCGAAAATAATTATAGAAGTTGATAAGTAGATGTGGCGTGGAAATATTTCGCTACGCATATTAGCCAGGTTGTTCCAGCGAAGGCGGCATCGATTTGCGCAGCACGGACTCGCAACTGATGAAGCGCGGCAGACCCGAAGTTTTTCAATGCAGTCCGGAGGCGTCTTACAGGTCCTGAGTATAGAGGTTTTTTTTTGAATAATAAAAAGCAAGAGGGGAGGGAGAGACAAGCGAGAGGAGCTGGCGGAGCGAAGGCGAGAAACCATTTCCAATAAAGAAACTAGCTTCTGTGTGGCACCATAGTGGTGCGCCCTTTTCGGGCGGCGCTTCCGCGCCTTCTTTGCTACAGCTGCGAGCCCGGGCCCGCCTCTTCACCTCCTTGGAAAAGAAGGAGTGAGTGAGGAGCGCGTGCGCCCGGTACAACGCGCGGGAACGGAAAGACGCAGATCCGGATGTTCCTGAAGGGCTTCCGGCGTCATGCAAAAAACTTCCCGCTCCCGGGCGCTGGCACACGTCACAGGTTTGCAAGCTGCCTTGTGACGGAGGACGGCCTGAAGCAGCTGTCCCGTGCCTGCGCCGCGGCGTCTCCGGAGTCCGTTTACGAGCTCCTCGGCGCCGATCGCGGAAAAACGGGACGCCGAAGCCTTCCGGTTGTTCGCGAAAAGTTTCGGCGCTTCCTTGCTTGCAGCTGTAGCATCTTACCAACTGGGGCCAATGCCCCGCCGGGCCCCATTGGCGGGCTCGGCATATTGCGCGCCTTTCAAATGGCGCGCCAGTATTGGTCGCGGTCCGCGATTACAGTACCAGCCTCCTGCCTGAAGCAGGGGGCCGATCTTATATGGAGTCCATTGCGTGGATACACGGAAGCAGCTCTGGTCGAGCTGGACTGACCGCGCACCGACTGGTCATTGTACAGGCGCCGCGCTGTAAAAGTATGAGTGAGTAATCCGCCCTGCCCAGCTCGCTGACTTCGATACAGCTTGAGCCATTTTGCTGTTGTGCTTGTGTTTCACATTGAGAGAGCGAATGACGAGCAAAATCAAATAGAATTCATGCAATGCAGTGCTGATCCACAAATTACTACTCACCCAGGTAATGCCAGCCATCTTGTTGAAGAAGACCGCCCACCAGGCTCGCACGACGGCTTTGTGCTTTTGCTGCAAAAGATCTGCGTTTATGCATGACAGAGTCATTCAATTTTCAAAGACAAGATGACGCGCCGATGATCTGTTCTAAGATCTGCTAGAGGTTTTGATGTAAAATTTCAGGCGGCAAAATTGATGAAGTGACTTCAGGCATTTCGGAGCGTGCGCCTCACATACTGCGACTTGACCAAGTGTTTTGATATTGCCTTCGTTTTGTAGTTGACAAAGTGTGCATAGAGCACAAGAGCACAGAGCATCATAGCAGTTTTGTTGTTCAAGATGGAGTGCTTCTTCTTGCCGCCGGATGGGAAGTATGGCTCGCGTACATGGCGTCCAAAATTCCACGTTGGAGACCTCATTCGCCTTGCACCCGAAGTCATCGAGTATCGCCGTGGAGGCCATCATCACCGTGGTCCATCCGCCGAGCTGACCAACTTGCAGCTCAGCTTCGACTTCTTCCTTGTATGGCTTGAAGACACAAAATCAAAACCATTGCGGTTTGCATGTTTGTAATGCGCATCGCATTTATGCAGTGTGTGATGCTTGGAAATTTTAAAAAACCGATTTGCGAAAAATTTAGCACCATCAGCTAGTGACTGATTTTGTTTTTTCATTTGCATCGTTTGAGGAGTGGCATTCCGTCCGCGACAATCCCGAAAAGCTGATCAACTTGATGAAGATCATCGAGAGCCGCCGCTTCTTGAAGATGGACTTCAAGATCTTTACGTTGATACAGATGATGGTTTTGGACGTGCAGCTTCTGTACTTTCCAGCAGTGCGGAGCTTCCCTGGCGATAGTGAAAGATTCGCAAACTGGAATTACTACTTGATTTTTTTGAAGAAAACGTCTGAAGCTGAGGGCTTATGGGAAAATGAAAAAGATGCTCGAAAAGTGAAAATGATCTTGCCCTTGATGCGACAGAACGCTTTGCAAACGATCGAAAGCTCTCTACTGAACATAATCAAGTAAATTTGCAGCGCTTTTACTTGTATGCGTGAGCGTCGTAATACCTTTGCGATTTCAAAAATTTGCACCTGCGGCGATGTGTGCTTGACCTGTGGCAGAACCAGCCATACGACTTCATAACTTTTCTGATGATTGTGTTCCACAAAGCAATGCTTGAAAGATATGCGGAAAACGATCATCAATCTCCAACTACAGCTCCATAGTTCTGCAAATTTTGTGTAGCCGAAGCAACACTTTCTCACTTATCCAAAACTAAGCCCCACCGTGTTGAGAATTTCCGTACGTTCAACCAATCTAAAGCACAAGACTCCACTGCATAAATTGAGTTGCGTTTTTTTGCGTTGGAGTGTGGAGATGTATTGCAGAGCAAAGGTCTGTGCGTTTTTTCACTAGAGCTGCGTTCATGACAATAGAAAGAGTTTGTTTCTGTGAAAAAAGTGCAATGCGAAGCGTGTCTGTGATAGATATTTTTTGAGTGTTTTAGTGTGTGTCCCCGTAGCGTGAGTTTCTGTTTCCACACATCACACATAATCTCGAGAGTTGTACTTTCAAAACAAGACGATAATGCGGGATCCCCTCAGCAATTTCCAAATAGACATTTGCACTTCTCCCCATAGAGATCATATAGCATTATTGTAGTAATTCAATTGGGTACTTTTGTAGTGTGTAATTGTTGTTGAGCAACTTCATTTTTTATTTGTGGCTTCGAGATTTCAAAAGACAGCAATTTTTTCATCCGCGCATCACAAATTCTCTTTTCAATCAAAAACCGTAGCTGAGTGTGAGCGAAAAAAGTCTTCTTGTCTGCGATCAGCAGTTCAAGCCACAACTTCAAAATGCAGAATAACAACGCTGGCAATGCCGGCAATGGCAATGGCCAGAACAACAACGAGCGCAACCCTCCGCCGCGGGGCAATCTGATCGAAACCTCCACGGTGAGATCCCGCAGTGGAGGTGTGGCTTCTACCTTATTAAATACTGGCAGTGGCCAAGTAAGCCGGGCGTGGGTTCAACTTGCTCTTTCAATGTTGACGAAATGCCTCCTGGTCGCCGTCCAGGACTCCGTCGAGGTATAAATGTTTGTTTTTTTTTTGCACAGCATCATAGATATGTATATGAAATTCTTGCGCGTTTTATTATCTCATTTGAAATACACATTAAATCACCCACAGATCGGCGAGATCCAGTACACCTGCACGTCTGCCGCGAGGCTCCTTCTGGCCGTGTTCATGATCTGCAGGATTCCCAGCCCCCCGCAACTTGGGAACTTCCCACGAAGTGGCAGAAACCTGCTGCTTACGCAAAGCAAATTTTTGCATGATGAGCACCGGTCTTCAGATTGAAAAAATGTCCTGCTTTATGCATAAAAAATTCTGTGATGCGAAGAGAGTGCTTGCGTTTAGGTTGCTTTGTGTGCGATTTTTCATAGCATAAACTTGTTGATCCACGCCGCGACCGCCCGCATCACGTGCAGCTACCGCGAATCCTGGTTGGAGGTACAGAAATTATTGCTTTTTTTTAATCAGCATGCGACATGGTGGATGCAATCTCGAAATTATACAAGCCTTCACTTAAAAACTTGCTTCAGGTTGTCCGTGTGCTCGAACCGCTGCAAACTGCGTCTGAGCGTCGCATTTTGGAGCTGTGGTTCACCACTTTGCACAAGTTCTACGACCCGGACATGTCGGACGAGGAGATCGCCATGTTGTGGGGAGAAATATGCCTTTGAAAACTATACACCGACTGAGAGGCTTTGCGTGGAAATATGAGAAACAGTACGCATGTTGTGTTTGTGTGTGTTGTGTCTAGGTAATGTATTTGATACGGTATTGTCGTAGTGCCTCTGATGGTCGGTGTTGAAATTTGCATTGCATATTTGTACACGACCACGTACCAGCCGACGATGTATGGTTTGGGTGAGTTCACCTTGGCCAGCCCCGAACGAATCGCCGGCCGTGGTCGCCGTGGTCAACTTCCTTTGGGAGCCGCCCCGCAGAACGACGTGATCATGGACGCCGAATTTTTGCCGCAGGAGGGACAAGAAGGTGGTGAGCAGCCAGCTGCTGGTGCGGCTGCTGCTGCCGTCGACGACACG